AACATATGAGGGAGGACCCCCCAAAAACCCTAGAATTATCTTCTGGAGGGTGGGCTCCTTGCAGTACAGGCTTCCCCCATTGGGTGAGTGTTCTATGAACCCATCTGTATCAGGGTACCAGCTGAAGTTGTTGTGAGAGGCTGCATTTGGCTTCAATGAATTTTTTTTAAGGACTCATTTGCCCATTTCATGATGGGTGATTTACAAGCACACTTGTCCACACCAAGTTGCATGTGCAGCAGTTTTTGACCAAAAATGGCATGACCCCCATGCCCCATCCTCCCTATTCACCGGATCTTGCCCGAGCAACTTTTTTTTTGTTTCCCAGATGAAACTCCTCAAAGGGGAACATTTTGCCAATCGGAAGAAGTGAAACAAAAGACAGCAGAAGCACTAAAAGGCGTCAAAATTGACATGCTCCAAAACTTTTGAGCAGTGGAAAAACCATCTTGAAAGGTGTATTGTATCAAATGGAGAGTACTTTGAAGGTGACTGAATTTAAACATGTAAGAATACACAATTTTTTTGTAAATAAATTCCAGGGGTTTTTGGGTGCCCCCATCATAAGTATCATCTTACACTAGACTAGAATATAAGCCCTCAAGCAAAAACTACACCTTGTTATACCCCAAGTGTGTAACACAGTTACTGGCACATAATATTAAACAAATAACTTATTTAAAAAATTAATTAATACTACTCCACACATAAGGGCTAAGAATTGCAGTATAGTGATGAGCTTGTTGCTTCCACTCAAAGATTTTCAATGTTCATGTAAGAGAAAGGACAGTTCTTTACAAAAGAATTCCAACTAATAAATGTGGGAAGTATGAGAGAAATAGAACACCATAGTAGTAATTACTACATAAAAGACCCACCAATGAATGCTGAAATTAGTTGGGTAAAGTGTAAGGAGAGACAAGATACTTGCATAACTTCACAGTGTCTCCTCCCAAGTATATATTAATTATAAAGAGAAAAATAGTTAACTTCACAGTGGAGAAACCTGGTTGACATCGCCTTAACTAAGGGACCAAGCTTGACATCACCAGTTAGAAGATGTGTCACTATTATGTACCTCTCAGCTCAGAGGATGTGCTGAGAGGGCACTTCATCTCTTGGTATTCTTCTAAAAATTCATGATCACAATGTAATTGTGAGAAAGCATCAGATGAACCCAAATTGAGGGACATTCTACAAAATATCTGACCAGAAATCTTCAAACATGTCAAGGTTGTAAAAGATAAGGAAAGACAAAGGCAACCGTTACAACTAGAAGAGACTAAGAAGTAATAACTAAACTCAATGTCATATCATGTATGAGCTCCTAGGATAGAAAAAGGACATTAGTAGAAAAACAGGTGAAATCCTACTAAAGTCTGCACTTTCCCTCTTTTTTAAAGTATACTTTATTATGTTATTACTGTTGTCCCACTTTTTTCTCCCCTTTATTCCCTCCGTGCTGCACCCCCTTCCCCTCAGCAATCCCCTCCTCCCAACTTATTTCATGTCCATAGGTCATACATGTAAGTACTTTGGCTTCTCCATTTCCTATACTATTCTTAACCTCCCCTTGTCTATTTTGTACCTACCATTTATGCTACTTATTCCCTGTACCTTTTTTCCCATTTTCCGCACCCCCCATCCCTGTTGATAACCCTCTATGTGATCTCCATTTCTGTGATTCTGTTCCTGTTCTGGTTGTTTGCTTAGTTTTTTTGTTTTTGTTTTTGTTTTTTAGGTTCAGTTGATAGTTGTGAGTTTGTTGTCATTTTACTGTTCATAGTTTTGATCTTCTTCTTTTTCTTAGATAGGTTCCTTTAACATTTCATATAATAAGGGCTTGGTGATGATGAACTCCTTTAACTTGACCTTATCTGGGAAACACTTTATCTGCCCTTCCATTCTAAATGATGGCTTTGCTAAATAGGGTAATTTTATGACCTTGCCTTTCATGACTTTGAATGTTTCTTTCCAGCCCCTTCTTGCCTGTAAGGTTTCTTTTGAGAAATCAGCTGACAGTCTTATGGGAATTCCTTTGCAGGTAAACTCTGCTTTTCTCTTGCTGCTTTTAAATTTTTCATTAAGGAAGGGAAATTCTTCTTTTCATTAAGGAAGGAGTTAAAGAATGAGGCACCCTGCAATAGACCATTCATTTGAGGTCAGCTACAGAAAGCCAGGAGGGGATCAATCATCAAATACCTATAAAGCAGTTTGAAACACATATGCATATGTAAAACCAATTCAGTGGCCCTGAGGATGGGATCTGAGATTCTGCACATCTAACAAGTTACCAGGTGAAGCCAATTCTGTTGCTTCTCAGACACCACTTTGAAGAAATCTACTCAAATAGCAACTACTTTGTGAATAGCATATGTAAGATTTTTTAAATAATGCTTCCTTACTGTTTTATTGTTTATTGTATTCTGATTGCCAGGTTCAATGGATTCTCCAATACAGATCTTACTGGACCATTACTTTCTCGAAACTCTATGTTGGCTCTAGTGACATCACTCTAGATGATTATCCTCCTGTGTCTTCAGCATTCCCTCTCAGGCTTCTTTACTGGCTCCTCTTCATCCTCCTATCCCTTAATTGTTCCCATTTCCCAGACATCTGCCTCCAGCTCTCTTTCCTTCTATTTGTATTTACTGGAAATCCTTTGTTATCTCCAATTCTAGTTGATTCCTTTGGGGTTTCTAGGTACATAGTTGTGTCTAAAAATAGTAGTTTTAGTTCTTTTTTTTCAAATATTTATGCTGTATTTCCTATAAAAATATATTTAATAAAAATTATATATTCACATTTGTTTTAGAAACATTTCTGTTTTCATTTTATGGGGAATGACTACAATGCTTTTCCTTGAAACACAAGTTGGTTCTTGGTTTTAGATAATCTTTATTCATTTTCAAAAATGAGATATAATTTACATTACATAAATTCACCATTTTGAAGTGTACAATGTTTTTTTATGTATGAGTTAACCACTCAAAAAGTGCTAGAATTTTAATACTAATCATTTCTAAAGACTTGAGCCATCCAACAATGGAATGGGATCCCCTGCAACTAGAAACATTAAGCATGATCTGGATAATCCCCCTTTTAATGATGTTCTAAAGCATGTTCCTGTTCTGCTGGGAGATAAATTCTGAAATCCCTTCTAATAATAAAATCTGTGGGACATATATTGATTTGAACACTTCTACATAGTGGAATCACTGCTCTGAGCCATGGCAAGGAAATGAAATAAGGGACTCTCTTTTGGCCCAGAAACAGGTGAAAACAACATTTAAGTTAACGGTACACATACCCTAGCCAGGTAGTTCAGTTGGTTAGAGCATTGTCTTTTTCCTTTTTAAGATTTTATTTATTTATTTTTAGAGAGAGGGGAAGAGAGGGAGAGAAATATCAATGTGTGGTGGCCTCTTATGTACCCCGCACTGGGGACCTGGCCCATAATCCAGACATGTGCCCTGATTGGGAATCGAACCGGTGACTCTTTATTTCGTAGGCCAGCACTTAATTCACTGAGCCACACCAGCCAGGGTGGTTAGAGTGCTGTCTTGATATGTCAAGTTTGTGGGTTTGACCCTTACTCAGGGCACATGCAAGAATCAACCAATGAACACATAAATAAGCAGAACAAATCACTGTTTCTCTATCTCTGTCTCTAAAAATAAACCATAATAAAAAAAGTTGGGAAACAGTGTGGAGTTTCCTCAAAAAGTTAAAAATGGAACTGCCTTTTCATAAAAACAAACATATAGATCAATGGAACAGAATAGACAACCCAGAAATGAACCTACACCTTTATGGTCAAGTAATATTTGACAGAGGAACCAAGCACGTACAATGGGCTAAAGATAGTTTATTCAGTAAGTTGTATTGGGATAATTGGACAGACACATGCAGAAAAAATGAAACTAGACCACCTTCTTACACCACACACAAGAATAAATTCAACGTGGATCAAAGACTTAAATGTTAGACCCAAAATCATACAAATTGTAGAAGGAAACATAGGCAGCAAAATATCAGACATTGCTCGTAGCAATATTTTATTGGATATACCTCCCAGGCAAAGGAAAGAAAAGAAAAAATAAACAAGTAGGACTACATCAAACTAAAAAGTTTTTGTACTTGTACAGCTGCTCTGGCTGGTGTGGCTCAGTGGATTGAGTGCTAGCCTGTGAACCAAAAGGTCACTGGTTCAATTCCCAGTTAGGGCACATGCCTAAGTTGCGCTCAGGTCCCCAGTCCTTACTGGGATGTGTGAGAGGCAACCACACATTGATGTTTCTCTCACTCTCTTTCCTTTTTCCTTCCCCTCTCTCTAAAAATAAATAAATAAAATCCTTTAAAAAATAATAAATCTGCCTTTTGGCCCAGCTATCCCACTTCTGGGAATATATCTGAAGGAACCCAAAACACTAATTCAAAAGAACATAAGTACCCCTATGTTCATTGGAGTGTCATTTACAATCACTAAGATTTGGAAGCAGCCCAAGTGTCCATCAGTAGATGAGTGGATAAAACAGCTATGGTACATTTACACAATGAAATATTACTTGGCCAGGTAAAAAAAGAAAATTTTATCCCTTGCAACAGCATGGATGGACATGGAGAACATTATGCTAAGTGAAATAAGTCAGTCAGAGAAAGACAAATACCATATGATTTCACTTACATATGGAATCTAATGAACAAACTGAACTAATAAGCAAAATAGAGACAGACTCATAGATGGAGAGGAGGATGACAGCTCTGGGCTGGTGTGAAGGGTGGGGTTAGGGTGGCATGATTGGGCAGAAAAGAAAAAGAACTCATGGACATGGGCAATAATGTGGTGACTGTGGCAGGGAGGGGAGAGGTGAAAGAATATAAGAAGGATAAATGGTAATGCAAAAAATACAATTAAAAAGCTATTTAAAAATATTTTATTGATTGATTTTTAGAGAGGGAGGGGAAGGGAGGAAGAGAAACATCAATGTGTGGTTGCCTCTGGCTTGCCCCCTACTGGGGACCTGGCCTGCAACTCAGGCATGTGCCCTCAATGGGAATTGAACCAGCGATCCTTTGCTTTGTAGGCCGGTGCTCAATCCACCAGCCAGGGCAACAAAAAAAAGCTAGTTTAAGAAAGTTAATGCACGAGGCCCCAGGTTCATTCCCTGGCACCTCCATAGAAAGAAAAAAGAAAAAAAAAAGTTAATGGTACACAGGAGAAGCAATATTCTTAAATAATGGGAATAATAGTTCTCATTAGTTACATCAACAGTTCCAGGGATCTCCTTACCCCAAATCCCCACCACAGAGGCCTGTACCCACCAGGGAAGGAGAGGGTAAAATTAGGACTCTATCAGGAAGTAGAGTTTTCAAGTGGGGTAGGAAGTTACAAAGTCAAGGAAAGAGTCAGTCTGAGTAGCTGTGGAAAGTGTAGAAAGCCAAGGACCACAGGCCCCACTGGCATTTAAACTAACTTTTTCACCTAATCTTATACCTTTCAGTACCCCTTATGTCTCAGAGACAGGCCACTAAGCAATTATCAGTAGTATTTATTAAACATTTACACCCTGAATTCTCCATTTCCAACTGTTCCCTTCATTATCTGTTGCCAAAGATACCAAAGCCATCCATCGTCGGCTTTACTTGTCTTCTAAGTTCATCAGTGCCTGCACTGTAAAGAAACAGACTATGAGGCTGGAGAACTAAGAATATTCAATACACACAAGTGTTTTAAGACCCTGCTTTCCCAGGTTCTCACACAAATTTTTACGTAAATTAAAATCTTTACATTAAATTAAGCCATTATGTTGCATGTCAACTATAATTGAAAAATAAATTTAAACAATTACACCATATGCACGTGTACTCTTGGCCATAGATGAATTACTTAGGATTAAAGAAGCTGCCTTACTGCCTTCTCCATTTCATCTGGTTCTCCTCAGAGAACAAGTGGGAAGGCAAGGCTGAGGACAACTGCAAGGAGCAAGATTAACATTAGGCAACATTTTGAAGTAGGTGAATGTCTCCTTTGACATCCTGTTCTAAATTCCACATTCCAATGTTATAAACTTCTCTTATTGCCCTCCTATGCCCACCACAAACATATATCCCTCTTCCCTAATTGTTATTTCCACATCGAGTTGATTTCAACTAAGTATGAGGAAGATAACACTGATCCATATTAAATTGTAAAAAAAAAGGGGGGGAGGCTAACTCTTTCAGTTTTCATTTCTAGAGGGAAAATTTGTTAATCTAATTTAATCTCCAACTGGTAAAATTTCAAGTGAGAAATTTAGGGAAAATAGCTCTGCTATTTAAATCACATACTTCTCTCTGCCTAGGCTGACACTAGAAGATGCTGAAAGGAAGAGAAGTCTGTAATTCATAACCCTTTTTCAGGGGTTGAAGTGGGCACTTGCGGCCTTTCTGTTCACTAACTCCAACAGCTATCAGTAATCATACATGCAGTCTCAAAATCTGGAGCCTGAGGCCCTACTGCTCAGGTCTGAAATGTGGCCTTCGGAGAGAAGGCACATGTACAAAAGAGGGTGGGCCATCAAAAGAAGCAAGAGCCCACCTTGTCTTAATTCCCAACAAATGGAACACTATCTTCTTGGGAAACTAGCTCTTAGACCTGAAAGGATTTTGGTATCCCCTACTGAAGAAGCAAAATTGCCAGGTTCTCTCTAGGTTAGAAGAAATTGGGACATATGTCCAGAATGTAACATCCCAAACCAAGGATTTGCCCTTTTTAGGTATGAGGTGGAAATTCAGACACTGAGATACCAAAATAGTGAACATCCACCCCCTCATCCTCAGTTATATATACTAATCCAATGTACTTAACTCCTGGCCCTTATGACTACCCCAGATCCATACCTGCAAACTCTTGCAAGCGCTTACGCTCCTCTAGGTTATACTGAAGCTTTTCTAGCAATTCAAAATATCGGAAGAGTGAATCTCTAGGCCAAACAACACGTTCTTCCTGATCCATGTCCATTAGCCCAGGCAGATTCTGGTGCACATGAGTCTCCCAATCCAACTGACCTGGAGGGAGGAATTCTTCTTAAAAACATAGATTTGTGGAAGTTGGGAAAGAACTGATGAATCCTATGGTGTGTGGGGGGAGGGGGAAAAGCAGAGATGAAAGAGGAAACAAAAAGAGGGAGAATGGTAAAGGGTGCATCACCAAGAGACCACTTTTTACAACAGGCAAAGACAGCCACAGCCACACTTATCCAAAGTGAAGCAAAAGTATAGAGGAAATGAAGAAGCACAAAGAAAGTAACTAAGACAGAAAATCAGACTGGTACAAAAAACTGGGAAGTAGATATAGTTAAGATTGGGATGTCTCCTGGAGAAATGGAAGAAACCCTCTGCTTACCAATAGAGTCCACCTCTCTGGATTTAGAAGAGGAAAAGGAGGAAGAAGAGGAAGATGTGGATTTTGTCTTTTTTGATGAAGAGTCTTTTGTTTTTGACTCAGATGCTCTTAAATCCTCTTCAGTGACACCGGTTTCAGATTCTTCTTTAAATGTTTCTGATAAGTCCAAAGATTCCGCTTGTTGATTGATATCTCTATAAGTGAAAAGAGAAATGTTATTGCTTGAAATACATTTATGAGATATGGGTTGCTCTTTCATTATTCTGATTCAGGCCCTGGCCATCCTGATGCTGAGGCTTAAGGTTATGAAGGCCAAACTGCTTATTGCATATACAGATTATTGTATATACAAGCCCCAAATCCGAGCTTAAGCACTCTCAACCACAATTATTCCATGTACCATATCCGTGTTAGTGCCCCTCACCACATAGCTTCTGTGCTCAATTTTACTCAGGCTTCCACAATACACACCCAACCTTATTTTGCCAAGCTTTAGCTCCCCACACCATAGCCCTATGCCTATTATACCATATCTACAGCCTTTCCCCACACGATTCTGTCTCTTAATAGTAAAGAGTTCCTGGGCTCAGCTCTTGGTCTTTTTATTTTCTCCATCTATGCAGGGGTGTCCAATGTACGGCCTGTGTGCTGCATGAAACCTAGGATGGCTATGAATGCAGCCCATACAAAATCATAAAGTTGTTTAAAACATTATGAGATTTTTTTGTGATTACATATCGTAATGTATTTAATGTGTGGCCCAAGACAACTCTTCTTCTTCCAGTGTGGCCCAGAGGCGCCAAAAGGTTGGACACCCCTGATTCTATTGCTTTTCCTTTGGTGATCTCATCTGAGCTTAACTGCCTACTAAATGAAAATTTAAACCTCTAGTCCAGACCTCACTCTTCAGTTCAGACTAGTATATATAACTTTGACTCACAAATCACCACTTGAATGTCTAATAGATATCTCCAATTCAACCAGAACTGAACTCTTGCCTACCATACCTCTTCCACCAACAGCCTTCCCCATCTCAGCTAATCCATTTTGCCAGTTGCTTAGGCCAAAGCTTTGGAGTCATCCTGAACTCTCCTCTCATACCCCACATCCAATCCATCAAGAAATCTTGTTGCTCTACCTTCAAACTATACCTTTTCTTACTGGTACCATTCTGGTCTGAGCCATTATCACCTCTTGCTTGGATAGCAGCATAGCTTCCTAACTCATCTCTCTATTCCTTCCCTTGTTCTTTTACAGTGTATTATCAACACAGCAACTAGAGTAATCCTTCTTAAATGTAAGGTATTTCATGTCACTGCTCTGTTCCCCATTTTATTCAGAGTCAAAGTCTAAGTCCCTACAATGGCCCCACAACCCTATAAACTAGGATCCCCACAGCCCTACAGGATAGGATCCCCACTGTCTCTCTGACCTTATTTCCTATCACTTTTCCCCTGCTCATTTTGTTCCAGTCACAATGGTTTCTTGTTTCTTAAACACATCAGGCATGCTTCTGGCTTAGGGCCTTTGTACTAACTGTTCCCTCTGCCTATAACATTCCTGCCACAGTGATCTCCTCACCTACTTCAAGTCTTTGCTTAAATGTTACCAGGCCACCCTGACTAACTTGTTTAAGATTATAACCAAACTGCAACTCCCACCCAATACTATAACCCCCTTTAATTTGTCCTACTTTTTATTTTTTCATAGTGATTATTTTATTTTAACATAACATATTCATTTAATATATTCATCATTTATTGTCTCTTTTCCCTATCTAGTATGTAAACTACAGAAGAGCAGGTATTATTGTCTCTTTTGTTCACTGATACGTCCCAAGCATCTAAAAAGCATTCAGTAATTATTTGTTGAATGGATGAATAAGATTATTTCTCCTTCTGCTCTCTTGTCCACTACTGAATCCTCAGGGTCTAGAACAGCATCCATTTCATAAAAGGTATATGTATTAATTTCCTGTGGCTACTGTTAACAAATTATGACAAACTTGGTAGCTTAAGACAACAGAAATTTATTCTCTCACAATTCTGAAATCCAGAGTCTGATATCAAGGTGTTGGCAGGGCTATTCTCCCTCTGGAAGCTCTAAGGGAGATGAGTTCCTTGCTTCTTCTAGCTCTGGCAGTTAGTTGCCTGGCACTCAGTGGCTTCTAGCTTGTGCTTGCATCACTCCAAACTCTCTATATTCACATCTCCTTCTCCTATTCTCTATGTTTATGTCTTCTGTCTCTGATAAGGAGCCTTGTCCCCCCTGGATTTAGGGTCCACCTGAATGACCCAGGATAATTACATTCCAAGGTCCTTAACTTAATTGCATCTGCAATGACCTTTTTTCCAAGTAAGGTCATGTTCACAGGTTCTGGGGGTTAGGACATGGGCATATCTTTTTGGGGGCTGCCATGCAACCAACTACAATCAATAGTTATTGAATGAATAAATTCTCTCTCAAAGCCAATATTTGTCTTTGGTTTTCTCCCCTCTCCTCCTTCATGTGTGTCCATCCCAGTTCACAAACACACTCCTAACCTGGTATCCATTTTGCTAAGGCTTGACCTCAGTGCCTCAGGGGACAGGTTTTGTCTCCTGCAAAGCAAAAAACACAAAGATGTAAAGAGAGTTATACTGAAGCAGGAGTTTATTAAGAAAAAAAATAAAACTGAGGTGAAGGAATTGTAGTAAAGGGGTGAAAATTAACTGAAGAAAACTAAGCGAGGAGGAGGGATTATAGCAAAGGGGTGAAAAGAGTAGGGAAGCTCCGATAGTAGATAAAGAATCAGGCAATATTATAGAACTGGGGCATTCTAACTCTTGGGCAAATTTGTTACAAGGGAAAAATGGGGTCAAAGCCATAGAAGAGAAATAGGGAATAAGGTCAAGAAACCTTTGGGAACTAAAGTTGGGTTTTAAAACTGGGAAACAGACCTCTGGATAATCTGCCGTTTGAATATGTCGGCTTTGTGCTGAACCTCCAGGTGTGTCATCTCCTCATTCAGGTCGGTCCTGATAGCCTGAAAGTTAGTAACTGCCCCAAAGGACCATTAGGAGTTGGGGATGGTGATGACAAGACCCAGGGAGAGGGCTTAGGTGGGGACAAACCAAGTGAAATAGCCATTACAGGCCCCGAGCCTTCCTGTTGTATCAGGTTTTCTCTCTCCATAATCCACCAACCCTAGCTCTCACTCTAATTTCTTCCTACCCATCCCTCCCACTAAGTTTCACCTTTTCTATGCTTACCCATCATGGCTACTATGATGTTTCGAAAGATAATGGAACCAAGTAATAATGAAAGGATGACATAGATGCTGCTGAAGATGCGACTGACTTCAGGAACCTTCCAGGTGTCCTGAAGCAGTGCATACCAATGATCCATGGTGAAGAGAATGAACACAGTCACTAGGGAATTCAGCAGGTCCCTAAAGAAAAAGGTGTGTGTGTAGATAAAACAGAGATCTAAATCTCGCAAAGTTTCACTCTTACTTTTTTTTTCATTCTCACGCTAAAAGCAACATAAGAGCATTTCTTTATAGTTTGCTCTGACTCTGGCTTCTTTTCTATCATACTCAATTTTTTAGCTAACTATACTTCAGTTTGAGGTTGTTTTATTACGTTTTCCTCTATTATGAATAATCTATGAGTTTCAATTACTATTCTATTAGTACTTGGGGCATAGTAGGTACTTAATAAATAAATAGTGACTGAATTTTTAAAAATTGTATGAATCACCAACTACATATAATTTTTTGTAAGTTTATTCTCCACTGTCCTATGGACTTCACCTAACAGAACATCACTTACAAATTTAGCAAACATATTCCTCTTTAGTTTGTTGTTATGAACTGATAAATAGATTTGTGACATAAATATGTGATCTCAAATAGTGACTGATAGTGACTATATCACAAAACCTCTCAGGAAGATATCTAAATTTTCCTTTTTATTCTTCCATATACAATTTCTTGAAAACACCAGGGCTTGGCCCTGGCTGGTGTAGCTCAGTGGACTGAGCACGGACTGCGAGCCAAAGCATCGCAGGTTCGATTCCCAGTCAGGGCACATGCCTGGGTTGCAGGCCATGGCCCCCAGCAACCACGCATTGATGTTTCTCTCTCTCTCTCCCCCTCTCCCTTCCCTCTCTAAAAATAAATAAATAAAATCTTAAAGAGAAAAAAACATCATGGCTTGAATAGGATAAATTCTAGGACTTTGATCACTCATACTTTTTTTTTTAAAGATTTTATTTATTTATTTTTAGACAGAGGGGAAGGGAGGGAGGGGAAAGAAACATCAGTATTTGGTTGCCTCTCACACACCCCCTACTGGGGATCTGCCTGCAACCCAGGCATGTGCCCTGACTGGGAATCCAAGCAGAGACCCTTTGGTTCACACACCAGCACTCAATCCACTGAGCCACACCAGCCAGGGCATTTTTTACAAAACTATCGAGAGAGCTGAGAGGCACTGGCAAGATTAGATTCCAATTCATAAATAACATTATCACCTCTGAATCCAAATTGACTTTCTACTAGTAGTCAGTGTTCTCTAGACAAAGATCTTATAAGGATTTTACTTTTAAATGAGTTTAGGTGTGTGCATGCATAATCCCCACACCTAGAGACTGGGGTAAAATCAGTGAGCATGTTTGAGAGTAACATTTATTATCACTTACAATGTGTGTTAAATACTCTAAATGCTTAAATGCATTACCTCATTTATTCCTTCACTCTTACTACCATTTTTCAAAAGAGGTAACTGAGGTTTAGAAGCCAGGGCTTAACCACTGGAGTATACTGCTATTTAAAGAAGGCTGATCTGGGTGCATATGAATTTGACAAACCAGAGCAATGCCCTGGCTAGTGTGGCTCAGCAGATTGAGTGCTGGCCTGCAAATCAAAAGGTCACTGGTTCAATTCCCAGCCAGAGCACATGCCTGGGTTGCAGACGAGGTCCCCAGTTGGAGGTGTGAAATCTCCCATACAAAAATGTGTCTTTCCCTCTTTTTCTCCTTTCCTTCTCCTCTCTTTAAAAGTAAATAAGCAAAATCTTAAACAAACAAACAAAACAACAACAAAAAACAGAGCAAATCTGGTAGCTGCCCTATCCTGAAAATCAAAATGAATGACACTAACTATTCTTTTGTATTCTCTTTGCCTCTCCTGTGTTCTATTCCACTTTCTTAAAATAGTCTATACTTTTTGTATTACTATACTTTGAACTACTTCCCAGTCTCTCACCCAAATTCTCTCCCCCTACCCAGGCTTCCCCCAGTCCTGCCTACGAGAAGAACATGTGGTACTTCAGGTCCGGGTGAGTTGAACGGGTGTAACCCTCGAAGAAGTAGACACCGGTCACAGCAAAAATGTAGAAGAAGATGATCAGCAACATCAAGAGGAAGGTCATGCTCTAGAGGCCATGACTTCAAGTCAGAGCTGGGACAAACTAGGCTGATCTCCACCTACAGCCCAGTCAAGCCCACCCTGGCAACCCCCAACCAAACCCTCACTTCCAGTCCTGAGCCCAGGCACCTGTAGAACACAGCAGCTTGACCCCACTGCTTTCTCATCCAATAACATATCACAGGGTCTTTCATTGCCCTCTTTGACCCACCCAGACTTGTTCATGTAACTCCCATGTTTATCCACCTTGCCCACCCGGTTTTGCCACTATAGTTAATTCATTCACCTTGAGGGCCCTGGCCAGGGCCAAAATAATGACTCGAACTTGAGCAAATCGTGTAAAGAGTTTGAGAGACCTTAGCACCCGGCAGATCCTCAGCAACTGGAGCCATACAGACTGCCTTGTTACCCCTACCAGCACCACAACCTCAGGAAGCAGGGACTGTGGAAAACACACAAATTATGAATAAAATATACCCAAAGCACTCATGCACGGTTGCCCCTTCATTACTGATCTTCACAGTTCCTTGGGCATCATCTCATGAATACCATTCTCTGGTGACTGTTTCCTATTCAGTCTTTCTATACTAAATTACTTAAACTCTGTACTTCAATTTTCTCAGACATAAAAAGGTGATAAATGGAGTGCTTATCTGATTAGGTTGTTGTGGAGCTCAAATAAGAAAATTCATGTAAAACACTTAGAACACCTGACACTATTAAGTGCTTAGTAACTGCTAGATGTTGTTAGGGTTAATGTTGTGGTTAGATTCTGCCTTGCAATGCCACCAATTCCTACAATGACTGACTTTTAGGAGAAAAAAAAGGAATTTAGATACATTTCTATTTGTTTCTTCCTGTAATCTAATTATCTTAACATTTCTTGACATTTTGATTCAACTAGACACATACCTCAGCCCACTAAACTAATCATCAAGATATCTACCCTTACCAGTATGGTAACAACAAAATCAAAGACATTCCAGGCATTCTTCCAGAAGAGAAAAAAGCTTGACATCCACATAAGGAGGATCTCTAAGATAAAAATAAATAAGATGAACCAAGCTGCCACCTCCAGAGTCAGCTTCATGGGCCACAGTTTGGTGTTTGAGGATTCAAGCAGTTCTGTGAGAGTAGAGCAAAGGATAAGGTTAAGGAAGTGGGAAGCTGAATGATAGAGAATGATCACAATCTATTGGAAACCACACTTGTGCCCACTGCTACTACATTTTTCTTTGAGTTTCTCTAAACACTGTTGCTGCTTCAACATGTGAAACACAGTGGAAGACTGAATCATATGTGGAAAACAGCTCTGACTCATTTCTTCTGCTGGTAATCAATATGCCTAACAGCTGCAAGTGACTGCCTTCCCACTCTGGGGTCACACAGACACCAAGGAACTCATCTCTTAATGACCCTAACCCTGTCTGCTGTACTGTTCCTCCCGAGTCCCAAACTTCACAAAGAGGCAATGAGTCGTGAGAATGGAATGAAAATGTAGGGCCATGAGATGTTAGGTGCTTTATAAGGGATACAGAAACAAGAAGGCAGATTCATGGAGCATATTGAGTTACAATAAGAAATTTCTGGTTCCTTATTTGTTAGCTTTTAAAACTTTCCCTTTCTTCTATAAAACTGCTTTTGTTCTACAAAGCAAATTGAATCCTATACTTTCTTTCTAGAACCCTATTATTTGCTAATTGCTGTTCCTTAAGTCATTGCCTTCACCTTTCAACCCTCTTCATCTCATTTATACAATTAATGGATGCATACCATGCTATTGAAGAAAACATTGACTAAAATACACATACAGGTTAAAACTTTAATGTCTCCCTTTGAAACAGGATAATCTGACAGTCTGCCAATGCACTATGACTGATACGCTTGGCAGTTAATGGAAGAGCATACTCAACCACCCTGAAGAACACAAACTATTTTTATGCCCTAACACATAAATTTCCATCTAAAGTTTAACATATATTACATGTATTTAACATATAATACATAATGTTATAAACCCGAAACTAATGTTGTATGTAAATTATATCTCAAATTTAAAAATTAAATTAAAAACTATATAATACACAAAATATATTTGATCTCCAAGTCAAACTTAATGTCATTTTAAAGTTCTTTTGTAGATAAATCACATATTTTCTTTAAAAAATAAGCCCTGACTGGTGGCTCAGTGGATTGAGCTCTGGCCTGAGAACTAAAAAATAGCATGGACTTCTGGTCAAGATGGAGGCATAGGTGAACACACTTTGCCTCCTCACACAACTACAGAAAAAATTACTACAAGACTACAAAACAAATCACCCAGACCATAAGAAAATCGAGCTGTATGGAAGTCCAACAACCAAGGATTTAAAGAAGCCACAATCATCCAGTTGTATAGGAGGCGCTGAGACTTGGAGAGAGGTGGAGAGGCAACACACCACAGGAGAGGCATGGTAAAGAGGCAAAACAGGCACTCCCACATTCATGTGTGGTAGATAAAAATTAGGAGGGATCCCTGTGGAGTGAGTGATCCCAGCCCCAAAGCAGACCACTCAGCAACCCAGGGTTCCAACACCAGGAAGATAAATCCCCATAACTTCTGGCTGTAAAAACTAGTGGAGGTTGGGGTGATGGAAGAAACTGCCAGATTATCAGGAGACTCCTCTTAAAGGGCCTGCATGGATTTAGGACTAATGCAGACCCATCCCTCTGGGATTTAGCACGAGGGTAACAGCTGGAGGGCACAAGTACCATATGGGGAGAAAGTGAAGAGACTACACAGAGCAAGTGCTGGGTGACAGCTTCCTCTTAGGCAAACCTCCAGAAGCCAGGCAGTAGCACTGTTCCCTCTCAGAGCCCTCCCCTAAAACAGAGCCACAAAGCAGTGAAACTGGTTGCCCTGCCCTGGTGATCACCTAAGGCTCTGCCCCACATAATTTACAGGTCCACATTTCTACAATAGGCCACAGTACTAAGACAGGGAATCAAAGCAGCTCTACCTAATACACAGAAACAAACACAAGGAGGCTGCCAGATTGAGAAGACAAAGAAAGATGGTCCAATTGAAAGCACAGAACAAATTCCAGAAAAAGAATTAAACGAAACAGAGATAACCAACCTATCAGATGCAGAGTTCAAAACACTGGTTATCAGGATACTCAAAGAATTCATAAAAAACACCTAGGCAGAAATGAAGGTTACATTAAGTGAAATAAAGAAAAATCTATAGGAACCAAGAGTGGAGAGGATGAAACTGAGTACCAAATCAATGATTTGGAACATAATAAAGAAAAAAGCATTCCATCAAAACAGCAAGAAAAAAAAGAATTAAAAAGAATAAGGATAGAATAAGAAGCCTCTGGGACATCTCCAAATGTACCAACATCTGAATCGTAGGAGTGCCAGAAGCAGAAGAGGAAAAGCAAGAAATTAAAAACTTATTTGAAAAAATAATGAAAGAAAACTTCCCTAATTTGGTGAAGGAAATAGACATATAATTCCAGGAAGCACAGACTCCTAAACAAGTTGGACCCAAAGAGGACCACACCAAGACACCTCATATTAAAATGCCAAAGTTTAAAGATAAAGACAGAATCTTAAAAGCAGCAAGAGAAAAGTGGATGACAATCACTTGAAGTGTTATCAGCTGCAAAGGATAAGTGGGAGGAGAAAAGGTACAGGGAATAAGAAGCATAATTGGGTCCTGGCTGGCGTAGCTCAGTGGATTGAGCGTGGGCTGTGAACCAAAGTGTCGCAGGTTCGATTCCCAGCCAGGGTACATGCTTGGGTTGCAGGCCATAACCCCCAGCAACCGCACATTGATGTTTATTTCTCTCTCTCTCTCTCTAAAAGTGAATAAATAAAAAAAATAGAAGTGAAAGGACAAAATTTAGATTATTAAAAAAAAAGAAGCATAACTGGTAGGTACAAAATAGACAGGGAAATGTTAAGAATAGCATAGGAAATGTGAAGCCAAATAACTCATATGCACACCCCATGGACATGAACTAAGTGGTGGGATTGCTGGAGAAAATGGGGGTACCAGGAGGAGGGAGACAAAAAGGGAAAAATTGGGACAACTGTAATAGCATAATCAATAAAATATATTTTTTAAAAAAGAAATAAACCAAAAAAGAAAAAGTATTGTGCAAACTAAGACTATAAAAGGTTGGTAAATTTGACCAAACACACACACACACACACACACACACACACACACACACACACACAAATACAAGATAAAAAATAGCATGAATTACTTATAACATGCCAAAAGTAAACATTTGCTCATGATTTTTAAATGATATAATGTTAAAATACAATATTTAATATGCTAGTCTAAAATATTTTTATTTCAACTTGCTTCTTTATATCACATAAAAATAATGATTAAAACACCTAAGGCAGTTTTCAAGACTATATATGTATTACTGGGAAACAAAATCACAGGACAAAACAAAATTGGGGAGCTTTGATCTAGAAAACTGTTAATAACTATTTTTTTCCCTATCTATAACAACATTCTTGTGATTTGGGAAATTGTTTTTAAAAGCCTAAACAAAATCTTAATGTTTATCACATGAATTAGTCTGTTCAAAGAAATCTGTTACTCACGAATTATTCCTCCTGCCTTTCTACCGTGAGAGTGTACTTAAAAAGATACAATTTACATGATTTTCCAGGCGATTCCTACTCTGGCAATCCACCGATCCTCTGGCACAATGATTAAATTTCATATTCAGCCATTTTACTAAATAGAATGATTAGTGCTATTCTCTTTTTTTATTTGTCCACTAGACGGAGGGAATCCTGCACATGTATTGTTATTATTCCAAGGTTTTACACTATATCCCTAACCTCACAGGGCAGATAAGTGCCTGTTATACAAGAAACAAAATGTGAGTGACATAGTTCAAAATCCTCCCCATATGCAGAGGAAATAAAACATTTCAAAGCAAATGAGGTATACTGTACTGGTCAATGACATCAATTATTTAAATATCTTTGACTTAATTGCATTAAAAGACAGTTTTAAAGTGGGGAAACTCTCCAAAATAGTGAGGATGAAACAAGGAAGTGGTACTCTTAATGTCCTTTCTCCTTTCTGAGCAGTTGGTTTGAGATGATAATCAAATGAGCTCATTGATTCTCCAGATATCTTTGTTAATACATTGCATATAATTTATGATTGGTTTTAGAGTTATTTACTCTTCGACATTTTCTGGCTCATCTAATACCTTACTTGTACCTAACTTGACATACTTTGCGAGCTTTCTTATTTGTACTTAATCTTTCTAAATATACATGTAAAAATGTAAATAGTGGCTCACTCACTTATGGGCACCAATATCCCTAATAGGAAAGGTTGATTCAAACAAATTTAGACTAAACTGACACAAGAAATATAACTAGCCTTTCCATCCCCTGTTCCCTGTGAGTCTATCACACACCCTAGTGTCTGACTACCTTTTATCTCCTATCCTCCCGAGAGCCCTCCAAATGTTTCTAGATCTTAGCAGTTGCACAGATACTACTTCAGGAGCCTTAATATAATTATGCCTATCACAATTCAAATAACACTCAAAAATATAAAATAATCAATTTAAAGGGAAAATGACTCCCACCCACTTCCTCTTTCATTTAATGTCAGTTCTCACCTATTTCAACCATCAGTACAATTGTATTCAAAAAGATGAGGAAGATGATGAAGTTTGCGAAGAGAGGACCTGTTTTCTCTTAAGGAAACATACATAGTGGTATTCTTTCTGATTCGTGTCGGTGAAATAATAGGGACAAGAATAGAAACAGTGAGAATGAGGAGAAAATGGATTTTGGAAAGGGGAAAGAAAAGTCATAAGGCAGATGATGAGACGAGAGACAGTAAAGCCATGGGATAAAAATGAGTGGCTCGAGGCCCTGGCTGGGTCGCTCAGTTGGTTAGAGTATTCTCCTGATAGCCAAGGTTGCGGGTTCCACCCCGTCAGGGCACATTCAAGAAACAACGAGTAAGCGGAACAACAAATTGATGTTGCTGTCTCTCCCCCTTACCTCCTCAGTAAAAAATCAGTAAATAACCATGTTTTTTTTTTAAATGAGTGGCATGAAAGGATACGCTCAAGGACCCACCCAGCCCACAAAGAAAGAGGTGGTCTCTGACTGCAGCGCACTTGAAACCTGCTCATCAGCCTCTGGCTGTGTGTAATCCGTTCTACGTGACGAGGCTTTATAGAGAAACGCACAAGCTGGTGCTGATCTACCAACATAAGTTTCTTCTGATGGGCAGGATCTACACCAAAAATATAAAAGGGGCAGTAGATAAGAAGTTTTTGAGGGGATATGAAGAGCAGGTAGGATTGGGAGCAGGAATACTGGTTACATAATGGGCCCCTTAGTGCTGGGCCTTGCCTTGCTGTTCCTTCTCATAGCAACTAACATTAGTTTGAAGAGGTAATGCATTATGATCAACACTGTCCATGCCCAAGACTAAAGGCAGCAGTTTCAGCCCTTTAAGTTTTAAGTGTCTTTGGTAAAAACATCCACATCAGCCAGGGCCAGTAGTTATCCTAGGCCTAAAGGGCAGTGGCATGGGTTCTATGTCCTGGATTCAAAGAATTTTATTTCTAAAACCTTTATCAAGTTTGATGTGCTCACTTTGGCAGCACATATACTAACTATCAAGTTTGGTGTAACCTCCAAATTAGCAACCAAATCAATCTTCCCTAAATTTTCCACTCTTAAAATTGTCTGCTTCCTATTCTTAGGAGGGTGTGGTGAGAGTTTTAAGTTTCTGCTTGTGAAGAAACAGGCTGCTGACCAAGTATCTCTCGGATAGTGTGCCGTGGCACAGCTTGGCTCAAGCCTTGCAGATGCTCGATGAGAGAAAAAGTGTCAATGAGACGAGAACGAATGGCATCAGCTCGGGGCAGTTGCACGTGTCCTAGCGGGCGGTAAGTGGCCATGTCTGCTAAGAAAATGGAAGAATCAGATATCATTTCATTCTTAGAGTTGCACCAAAGATCAGGCGTTTTCTTCCCCTCCTCCCACTCTCTTTGCCCTTAAGAATACAATCAAACACATTGTACCAAGACTCAAGGTTTTTTGAAACAAAAGGAGGCAGGAGTCATAATAGAATATTGCGCAGTTGACTAAGTGGCCAGGCACCTTCACTTGTGTGTCGGCATTTCTAATTATAAGCAGCAGCCACAAGCGAAAAGGAAAGCCACAAGGAAAAAGAAAAATTCGGGTACCACCTGGGCCCGAGAGATCCAGGCAATGCAATTTGGTGGAGCAGTGGGAGGGCTTGAGGGTGCTCCCGAAAGAAAAAGCAAGAATAATTGGACAGAAAGCAACGGCCTGACATTTTGAAAATGTATCCGGCCCCAACGCTCTCTCGGGTGCCAGTTTCTCCTCTCAACTCCCGCATGTGGGGCCCTCACCTCAGCGCAGGCTCTCTTCCGCCCACTCAGCCCTGACTTCACTCCTCTGCCTTCGGCTCCGGCGCCCTCAGAGCTCTCCGCACGCAGGACGCACTCAGGGTGTGCTCCCCGCTTCACTGAGCCCCATTTCCAGCTCTGCTCCGTCCCGCCCACACCCCGGGTTCCGCCTCGTCTGGGACCCGAACACAAACCTAGCCCCAGCCCCCAGGCCCCTGCACCGGCTCAGGCCACCTCCCAGCCCGTCCGCCCCGGTGCTCGCCCCCTAGGCTCCGCCCCGCGCCCCGGCCACTCGGCGGTTACCAGCTAGTCCCGCCCGCCGGATGCAAACGCTACGCAGCCAATCGGCGGCTGCCACACTACGGCCCGAGCCCGGCTGGGGGGGTTGGGATCTCCGGCTTCAGGTCCGGCTAGGCTAGAAGCGAGAGCGCAGGCAGAGGGTGCGTGGTCGCAGGCCCGACTCCCGCAGTCCCCACGGAGCCCCGACCCTGCAGGCCGCCCCACCTCACCTCGTCGCCATGCGCCTCCGCCGCACAGCACTGTTCCCTGGCGTGACGCTGCTTCTCGCCGTGGCCCGCCTAGTTGCTGCCTCCGACGTGCTGGAACTCACGGACGACAACTTCGAGAGTCGCATCTCCGACACGGGCTCTGCGGGCCTCATGCTCGTCGAGTTCTTTGCCCCTTGGTGAGGCCACTGAGCCGGGAGAGGGAGGGAGGGCCAGGCTGGGCTGGGCCGGGGGCGAAGGCGCGGGAACAGTTGGGCCTACGCAGCGCAGGGCCCTCCACCGTTCCAGCCGGCCCGGCTGCGGCCGGCAAATTTCCCAGCTCTGGGGATCCGAGGTACCTCGAGGGCGGAAAAGTGGGTGCTGATCCACGGGGGCGAGACCCGAGAAGGAAACCCGAAGGCCCCTCTCACGCAGGGCCACATCCTTATCTCAGTGCTCTTGTGGCACTTCCTATTTGTAGAGGGTTTAACCACCACTCTACCCCCCTTGGATGGGTATCTTTCTGAGTGAGTCAGTATTAATGTTCTCCATTCTAGAGACTAGGCATTCCAAGGCCTTGTACTGGAAGCGAACGTTCTTCTTAGTGGAGGGGTCCTGGGCCCCTAGGGTACTTCCTTTCTTCTGGCCCCTGGCCCCGCAGCCATTGATTTTTAGCCAAGGTCACTCAGTGGTTGCGGAATGGTCATAAGTGCTTTTTGGGACAAGCAATTATTTTGTCCATCGCACGGTGCACACTTCCTCCATTAAGTTGATCCTTTATTTCCCAGAACCAGCAGAATCCTGTCAAAAAGAAAGAGTAGGTGAACAAGAGTAATTTTCATCAGAGTCTGCCTAAAATGTCAGCTTTAATTAGGAATCTTAGAAAAACGCCAAAAATGTTCCAATGAGAAAATAACCAGTGTTGGAGGAATACTCTAGGGTGATTTCACTGAACAAGAGTGTAAATTTCTTGGGATAGAACTAACTCAAAATAAAAAGCAGGGGATGGGATGGGAGCAAATAGGGCTTCTGGCCCAGTAATAAATCTTTGAGTTTTATTTATTTTTTTAACCCCAAGTCTTTACCACAGCAGACTGCAAGCAATGATTATCTTAATTCATGAGATAGCTCAGTATATCCATGCTAATTAACAGTACTTAATTTTTCCACCCCTACCACAATTACTCTTGATTAAAAACTATCTGTATTCAAAAGTATCTGTAAAACAAAGTGTAGAACTTTCACCTGCTTCTAACTCTGGTCTTCACTGCAGAGGCTCCAGGGGCTTGTTGAGGGTTTCACTAGAAGTCCTGTAGTGAAGACCACCTGAATTAGAAGCAGGTGCTGGAAGCAAGGAATTTTGTTTTTAGCTTGTGACAGATTTTGTATCCAGGGCATTCCTGTGGCTAACTGGCAGTACTGATTACATATCATAGGTGGTCTTTATACATCTTTAGGCTCATATTAGGTCTTAGAAACAACTCTTCCCAATCATATAACCATGCTGTTAACTTTAAGGAGGTGTCACTGTAATTAGAATGGCTGTTTCAAAACTGGGTGGTGCTTCAGTGACTACAGGGATCAGCACGAAGTGAGTTGCAGGAAAATTGTGGACAGTTAGGCTTAGTTTAAAGCAGATTTTTTTTTTTTGATTGAAGGTGTTCTTTCCTACTTTAAAATTGTTGCATGTGCTTCTCTAAGAACTACACATCCCGGCATGCACTAAACTATTCCAAAAAGTGGGTGGATCTCTGCTTGTAATTGGTTTAGAAGGTAAGGTCGTTCTCCGCAGTGCAGACAGGAAGGATCAGTTTTCTGAATGAGTAATGTGGAAGCAAGGAAGTCTCCTGTTGATAATATCCTTATTTCTTAACATTCATCTATTTTTATTTGTTAATACTTAAGCTGGAAATGTTTTTTGACTGCTATATTCCTTTGTACAAATTAAGGGCATGAGCTCACAATTTAGGAACAGTTAAGAATCTTTAGTAAGAGTAAAGTGAACCTATTTTGAGCAGGTTCTTTTTCTGCTTTGTCTTGGGGTACTTTTCTACTTTCACTTTAAAAGTAAAAGTGAAAGATTTCCTAGCAGTTGATTCTGTAGGCTAATATTTCCATTATGGAGTTAATCATCTATGTAATTTGTAAGACTGGGAGTATCCGAATTTCTCTGAGGAAATAAATAGCACTATTTAAATGTTTGTGATAATTTCTGAAAGTTTTTTGATCAATGTTAAGTAATTTTTAAGTCTTCAACATCTTACATTGTAGATTTATGCCCTACCCTCTACGGCAGTAGTATTAAATAATGATATTTGATATACAGTGTTTCTAGAATATAGATAAAGACTGAGGATAGTATAAAATGGAATATTTAATACTGTTTATTTTTATATATGCTGATTCCTTTACTTGGAATTCCTGCCCCTGCACAATAGACCCTCCTCCCAGCTCCCAAATTGATCTTTCCAACAAAATTTAGCTCAAAAGTTCCTTCTACCTGCCCTGAACAACTAATTAGTTGCTCTCTCTTCTCTGTTAGGACTTAATAATAATATCTCGCCCCTACCAGATTGGTGTTCCTTTAGGGAAACGACTATATATCAATTTTTCTGTCAGAGGCTAAAATAGCCTTTGGCATAGGTCAGCCATGAAGTGATGATTGATGAATCTTGAGTAAGTAGATGTTGGGATTCATTATTAATTGCTAAGTGCCATTCCTGAAGATGGATGTGATTATTTGTGTTTTCATATTATCTAGGAGTTAGTGAAAGAAGTAGTGGTTAATGCTTTTTAAATAAAATATACATTGATTTTTAGAGAGAAAGAGAAGGGGGGAAAGAGAAACATCGATTTGTTGTCCCACTTATTTATGCACTCATTGGTTGATTCCTGTATGTGTCCTGACCAGGAATCTAGCCAGTAAGCTTGGCATATTGGGATGACACTAACCGACCAAGCTACCTGACCAGGACAGTGGTAGTTAATCTCGATGTTCACTTTCAAACTCTACTTTAGCTTCATTTGTCAGAATCGCAGGTGTTTTAGAGAATTTGTCCAAATTCTCAGGGTGGGTTTTTTTTTTTTTTTAAGATTTTCTTCTTCTTTTAAATATTATTTTTTATTTATTTTATTTTATTTTTTTATTTTTAAAGAAAGAGGGGACCTGGCTGGCATAGCTCAGTGGATTGAGCGCGGGCTGAGAACCAAAGTGTCGCAGGTTCGATTCCCAGCCAGGGTACATGCCTGGGCTGCAGGCCATGACCCCCAACAACTGCACACTGATGTTTCTCTCTCTCTCTCTTTCTCCCTCCCTTTCCTCTCTAAAATAAATAAATAAATAAAAATCTTAAAAAAAAAAAAAGAGGGGAAGGAAAGAAGAAAGAGGGAGAGATACATTGGTGTGTGAGAGATACATGGTTGGTTGCTTCTCACATGCCCCCAATCTGGGGTCCTGGCCCACAACCCAGGCATGCACCCTGACTGGGGATCAGCCAACCAACCGAACCACACCTGTCAGGGCTGATTTTTGGGGGGGTGGGGGGAGAGATCAGTGTGAGAGAAAAACATCAACTGGTTCCCATACACACTCTGATTGGGGACTGGGGAATCAACCCACAGCCTTCTGGTGCACATGTCAGTGCTCCAACCAACTAGGCCACCAGGCCAGGGCTAACCACTAAATTTTGCCACAGCCAACAATTATTATCTTAACCCATGGGATAGCTCAATATATTCGTACTAATTAACAGTGCTTAATTTTTCCATCCCTGCCACAATTACCCGTGATTAAAAACTATCTGTAATCAAAAGTGTCAGTAAAACAAAGTACAGGGCAGGACGAAAGTAGATTTACAGCTTTAACTATGTGAAACACAGTTTATTCTTGTATTATTAATTATTGTATTTTCCATGTAGACAACTGTAGACCTACTTTTGCCCCACCCTGTATGTAACTTTTACTTGCTTCTAACTCTGGTCTTCACTGCAGGGCTTCAACTGACTTGTTGAGAGTTACCCTACAAGTCCTGTAGTGAAGACCACCTGAACCAGAAAGATATTCTGGAGGTAGCGAATTTTGTTTTCAGCCTTCTTGGCAATTACAGCATAGTCAACAGAAATCTCTCTTGTGTTTCTTCTTTATTCTCACTGTTACCATTTTGGGCCAAGTTTTCATTTCTGCCATTTGAAATATATTATCTCTAGGTGGCATTATTTTTATCTCTGCTTTTACCACTTGTCAATCCTATATATTGCTTTTAACAACGAGCACTTCACAGTTCTCCGAATATATCATTCTCACTAGTAACTTTATCTTTGTTTTACCCTTCCTCTTATCTGAAATATCCTACCATGTTCTTTTTGAAGCTTTAAATGCTTTTTTTAAAAATTACATTATAATGCTATTACAGTTGTCCTAATTTTTCCTCCTTTGCCCCCGCTCCACACAGCACCCCCAACTCCCTCAAGCAATCCTCACACCATTGTTAATGTCCATGGGTCATGCCTGTAAGTTCTCTGACTACTCCATCTCCTATACTGTGCTTTACATCCTCGTGGCTATTCTGTAACTACCTATTTGCATTTCTTAATCCCTACACCTCTTCATCCATTCCCCCACACCCCCTTCCATCTGTCAGTCATCAAAATACTCTCTGTATCCATCATTCTGTCTTTGTTCTTCTTGTTGCTTAGTTTGTTTTTTAGATTTGTTTGTTGATAGATACGTATTTTTTTGCCATTTTATTATTTATATTTTTGATCTTAAAGAAGACCCTTTAACATTTCATATAATGCTGGTTTGGTGATGATGAATCCTTTAGCTTTTTCTTCTTCATCTGTCCTTTGATTCTAAATGATCTTTTGCTAGGTGCAGCAGTTTTGGCTGTAGGTCCCTACTTTTCTTGACTTTGAATATTTCTTGTCAATCCCGTCTAGCCTACAAAGTTTCTTTTGAGAAATCAGCTGAGAGTCTTATGGAAACTCCCCTGTGGGTAACTAACTTTTCTCTTGCTGCTTTTAAGATTCTCTCTTTATCTTTAACCTTTGACATTTTAATTATGGTGTGTCTTGGAGTGGGCCTCTTTGCGTCCATCTTATTTAGGATTCTGTGCTTTCTGGACTTGCATGTCTACATTTCCTTCACCAAATTAGGGAAGTTTTCTTTTATTACTTTTTCAAATAGATTTCCAATTTCTTGCTCTTTCTGTTCTTCTGGCACCCATATGATGCGAATGTTAGACTTCTTGGAGTTGTCCCAGAGGCTACTTACACTATCTTTTTTTTTTTTTTTTGGATTCTTTTTCCTTCTTATTCTGATTGGTTGTTTTTTCTTCCTTATGTTCCAAATCATTGATTTGATTCTCGGTTTCATCCACTCTACTGTTGTTTCCCTCTAAATTGTTCTTTATTTCAATTAGTGTATCCTTCATTTCTGACTGGATCTTTTTTATGCTGTTGAGGTCCTCAGTAAGTTCCTTGAGCATCCTTATAATCAGTGCTTTGAACTCTGCATCTGATAAATTGCTTATCTTCATTTTGTTTAGTTCTTTTTCTGGAGTTTTGATCTGTTCTTTCATTTGGGCCGTATTTCTTTGTTTCCTCATTTTTGCAACCTCCCTGTGTTTGTTTCTATGTATTAGGTAGAGCTGCTTTGACTCCGTGTCTTGGTAGTGTGCCCTAATGTAGTAGGTGTCCTGGGGGGTCCAGTGGCACAGCCTCCCTGATCACCCAAGCTGGGTACTCAAGGTACACCCTTCTTGACCCTTCTTGTAGTTGAGCCTTGATTGCTGTTGGCAGATCAGTGAGAGGGATTTACCAGGCCAGTCAGCTGCAAGGACTGATTGTGACCACTTACCACCAACCTCCACCCTCCATGAAGGATCAGCTGTTCAGTGGCAGGGTGGTGATGCTCCAGTGTGGTCTGTAGCTGTCCACTGGGTACACTGGCCCTAGGGTTTCCCAAGTTGTACAGGTCAAGGTCAGCCCCCATGTTTTTCCCAGGGCCACCCTGCCTGAGTTACAAAGCAATCTGAGATGGCTGCTACCTGTGCTAGGCTTGGAGATTTCCAGGCGAAGCCAAGCTGTGAATCAAGGCTGCTAGTTCCGGGCCTGTGGCTCACTGAGGCCAGCTGCTGCTTCTTTGAGAGGATTTAGGAAGTTGTGAAGTATGAGCTATGACTGGCCATGCATACAGAAAAGCAGCTTGGGTGGGCTTGTATGTTGGGTGGGCAGAGTGTCTGGGGATCTCCAGAGTGGATCAAACAGTGTTCGCCAAGTTGATGGAGTGTCAGATAAGGCACCAGCTTCCTGGCTCTGTAGGGAGAGGGTTTAGAAAAGGAACAATGGCCTCTGTGTTTGATTATGTTCCCAAAGCCTGGATTTCTCAGATAAATAGGTTATTTTATTATATTAGATCAGTTGTAACTTTTATATTTTTGCTATAGGTCAAGTACACAGATTTCAATTTATTATGCATTATTAAAGGAATACAGAGAATATAATGAATAGTACCATAATTCAGATACATCTAAGATGCCACTGGTTGTGAGAGGAACCACTATTTTGTCTCATAGAAAAAGAAATGTTACTATTGAAAAACTATTACATGATTGCAAGACACATCCCAATTTCAGATACCGTAAAATGTGCATCTATGAAATATGGCAAAAGGAATACTATTTATTCACCTCTCAGTCTAAAAAAAATAAAGCCAGTATAGTTGAAGGTCCCTGTGTACCCCTTCCCCATCTTATGCACTCTCCTGTTCTGAATTTGTTATTTATCATTTAGTCCTTTATACATTTAGTGATTATGTGTATAACCTTAACCAACACCTAATATAATATTACAGTTCTTTTTTAATGTTGCTTTTCCTTCATTATACTTTGTAATGATGATTTTTGAATAAGACTTCTAAAGACCTTGAAGAATATAAGCTCTTATAATTATTTGTTTTAAATACATTTTAGGGGGAAATGTTTCCAAATTGCTTATTCATCACTTAAATGTTGAGGCTGTTGGCTATGAAATATATCAGCTCAAGTTTTTACCGTGTTTCCCTTTGTTTCCTGATTCTTTTTATTTTTGCTGTCTGTCAAGAGATTACAAAACCACTCAGCTTCTCAAAGTGATCCCTCTGCAACACACCCATTTGCTTGTGAAGAGATGGTACACAGTGGGTGCTAGAGTATACTAAGGAGGAGGGTGTTACCCCCTTCCTCATTGCACATACAGTGTACCTATGGGACAGTTAGCACTTTCCCACAGAGGAGCAGGTGTTTCTGGTGGCCTTCTGGGAACATGTTAATTGATGTAATGTTTTATAATCACTTCTTATAGCCAGGTGAACTGTGTAGCTGTAAAAATCAGGACTACAGCCTTAAATATGTTCAGATGCTATGCTAAAATTCATTTGAGAGGGGAAAATCCTCCAATGAGCTGCTAGAATAGCTATTTATAACAAATGAGTGCCTTCTGGGCCTCAGTCTGTTACCCCCTCAAATTGGGTTTCTGATCAAAGAGAGTCAGTCATATTGAAGGAATGGAGAAAAAGTTCTTGACGGTGATTCTTACTGAGTTAATAATCATACTTGGGACCTTACTGGTTTCAGTCACTGTATTTTTTAAGAAACACAGTGTTGTTATCTTAAGGGAAAAATATTGCTATCTTGTCCTTCATTTTGCCCTCAATAATTGGTCAAAAGAGCTTGAGCCCTTTACCTTTTTAATGTGGAGTACACTTTTGACTACTGTTTTCAGGACTTAGTCACACTTTTATTGAGAAAATAGATACTGCTCTGGACTGAGCCAGTCCTGTAGAGTCAGCCTCAGACTAGAGATAGTACTTTTACCTTCTGAGAGCTCTGGCTTACCCTAATTACTGATGGCTGTTGTTCAGGTGATGCTTTTGCTTTTGGAAGCAGCTACTAGGTCAAAAGTAGTGTTATAGTTTGAGATTTTTCCTGGAGAAATAAAGGTAACTCATTCCTAGTATTAAACTAAAAATTTGGCTTAAAAAAATATATCTGTGTAGGTGTGGACACTGCAAGAGGCTGGCCCCTGAATATGAAGCTGCAGCCACCAGGTTAAAAGGAATAGTCCCATTAGCAAAGGTGAGTATAGATGGATTCTTCATGAAAGGAAATGAGGTATTTTAAGTAATAGTTTATAAAATTGATATTTACTCTTACAATGCTAAGAGAGAACACTAGTTTCTGGGCAAATACACAGCTGACTATTTTATCAATTATGGTTTCAAAAGATTCAAAGTAGAACTAAGGGAATAATTGGCAAAAGAAACAAGTAAAATAGGGTAAATAAGAATTAAAATGCAAATATAGAAGGTAAAAGTACAGTAGTTAAGGTTAGAGGAAAATTATTGTTGAGTAAATGAGTTCCCTAAACTATCATACGGTAGTTACATGTAGGAAAATGACATGAGGGTGTTGATAAGTGTGTAAGTAGCTGATCAACCATAAGCTTAGTATGTTCTTCTACAACCAAAGTAATACTTAAGTATTTTGCAGTTTTTCTGTATTAAACCCATAGTTGTTCCATTCGTAAAGCTCACATCTCTGCCAGTCTCAGATAGTTCATACATATTTATTTAGACTCTCTGAAATTGCTTTTAATTGTAATGTTCTATGGCAGCTTGCCATAGAAAAAAAGAGTTTGGTCTTGATTTAATTTCTGTCTCCTGGCTAAAGCCTATAGACACATTACTTTTTTGAACCTCAGTTGATGCTAAAGCATTGGGAGTATGCCAAATGACTATATAGATGGAAATTACTTTCCCTCCTCCTCATTGGTCTCACCAGATGGCATGTTATAGTCCAGATTCATACTAGCTCAGGGAGTATGCTCAAGTATTGGTACCTTTGCTAGTAACTAGGTGATTTGCCAAATCAAATTATACCCCACTGCAGCTAAAGGGTATGTACACCTATACATACATCCCCCTGTTGATAATCATTACTAAAATAAGTCCCTGTTACTAACTTAAATGATTTATCCCTCACATGTTCTGAGGTCGAAAAAAGGTGGAGACTGCTTTAGACCATAGAGACTGCAAGGGCAGAATTTAAACTGTCATTTGTGTGTTTTGTATGAGGCCCAGGAACCTAATTTTAAAGATTTCTTTAGGTGGTTCTTATTTAGCCAGCCCAGCACTAGTCTGCCTTTGAAATCTAATGTTCTGTGGAGTGTATGTCAAGAATTGCTTGATGCCTGTATGACTTGACCAGTCTTAATATTTTGGGAATATAGGAAGAACCTGTAACAGGCATTTGGATAACAAGTGGTGTATGCATTTTAATCTTTAGGTTGATTGTACTGCCAACACAAACACCTGTAATAAGTATGGAGTCAGTGGATATCCAACCCTGAAGATTTTCAGAGATGGTGAAGAAGCAGGTGCTTATGATGGGCCCAGGACTGCTGGTAAGGATCTTCAACTACATTCCAAAACTGAATTTGTTATGTCCCCTCTTCTTTGTAGTGGGAACATGACTTTTTCTATGCAACGTATTTTTGTTCTTTAAAATTCCTCATCTAAGAGGACAGTTTGGTAACAAAAGACTTCTTAAATGAACAGATTATGTAAATAATATAGAAATTTGAATTTGAGAATTATAAGATCAAGCAGGCATTTTTTCATTTGACAAGTATTGAGTATTCTGTGCAAGTGCTCAGTATTTATTGGTAAACAAAATACACAGGGCTCCTATGCTTGTGTTGCTTACATTCTGGAAGATGAAGAAAAGGCACAAACATGTTCAAAAATACACATAGGTAGCCACCACCTCATATCTGTTAGGATGACTGTTATTGCAAAGCAGACAAACACAAATAAACAGAAAATACCACGTGTTAGTGGGGATGTAGAGAAACTGGAACCCTTTTGAATTACTAGTGTGAATGTAAAATGGTGTAGCTGATACTGAAAACGGTGTGGTAGATACTGAAAAATTAAAAATAGAATTACCATATGATCTCCACCAATTCTACCTGGGTATGCACCCCAAAGAGTTGAAAGCGGGGTCTCAAAGAGATGCTTATATACCCATGTTTATACCTGCATTAGTTATGATAAACCTGAATGTCCTTCAGCAAATGAATAGATATACAAAATGTGGTATATTAATAATAGGATTTATATATAAATGTGTATATCATACAATAAACACATTTAAAAGGAAGAACATGAACAACATGGTTGAACCTAGAAGACATCATGCTAAGTGAGATGAGCTGGTCACAAAAAAGACAAATACTATGTGAGTCCACCGATGTGAAGGTCCTACAGTAGTTAAATTCATGGAGACAGAATGTAGAATGGTGGTTGCAAGGGACTGTGAGGAGGACAAAGTGGGGAGTTATTTGATGGATGGAGTTGCAGTTTTGCAAGATGAAAACAGTACTGGAGATTAGTTGTACAACAGTGTGAAGGTACTTAATGCCACAGAACTGTGCAATTAAAAATGGTTAAGGCCCTGGCTGGTGTGGCTCAGTGGATTGAGCGCCGGCCTGTGAACCAAAGGGTGACTGGTTTGATTCCCAGTCAGAGCACGTGCCTGGGTTGCAGGCCAGGTCCCCAGTTGGAGGGTGCTTGAGAGGCAACCACACATTGATGTTTCTCTCCCACTCTTTCTTCCTCCCTTTCCCTCTCTAAAAATAAAACCTTTTAAAAAATGGTTAAGTTGGTAAATTTTATGTTGTCTATTTTACCACAGTTAAAAAAAAATTTTTTTTAAGATTTTATTTACTGATTTTTAGAGGGAGGGAAGGGGACTGAGAAAGGGAGAGAAACATCAGTGTGTGGTTGACTCTCACGTGGCCCCCATTGGGGACCTGACCTGCAACCAATGCATGTGCCCTGACCAGGAATCGAGCCAGTAACCCTTTGGTTTGCAGCTGGCGCTCAATCCACTGAGCCACACCAGCCAGGGCTACAGTTAAAAAATATTCGGTGTAAAAATGAATGGATAAGATAAATTCAGTTAGTGATAAGAGCACTAAGAGAGAAAAAGAAGTCCTGGCCGAGTGGCTCAGTTGGTTGGAGTGTTCTATGCACCAAAAGGTTGCAGGTTTGATCTCTGGGGTGCATGTAAGAGGCAGTTGATCAATGTTTCTCTTTCTCCCTTCTCCTCTCTCTAAAATCAATAAAAATATCCTCAGGTGAGGATTTAAAAGAAGAAAGAAAAATAAAACCAGATGATGTGGTCTTGGAAGTACCACGTAGTCAGGGTGATCAGGGAAGGGAAGTTTGAGCTGAGACCTGAATGATAGGAATGGGCCAGCAATGAGAAGATCTGGATCAGAGCCTTCCAGGCAAGAGGAAAGCAAAAAGGACTTAGGGTGTAACTGAGCTTAGTGTATTCAAGGTACACAGAGACCATGTGGCTGGAATACAATTAGCAAGGCTGACTGACAGGTGAAGTTTGTAATGTAAATAGGGACTGGATCCTATAAGGCCCATAATTGATGAGAAAAAAATATTTCTGTATGAACGAAGATAGTTTTATCTTGAATCTGTCAAATATTCAGGCATATTTTACCTTTTATGGTAGTAAGGTATAGGAAAGGGGTTCAGTTAGGTGACATGAATTTTTTTTTCCAGTATGATGGTTATTCATATACAAAGCTATACAAGGCTATACATAGCATGACCCATTACTAATTCTGATGTAATCTGAAGACTGTTTCACTTTAGGACTTTTGTCCTGGCTATATTCACAGCCTGAAATGAACTTCCCCTGTGGTTGCATGGCTTGCTCCTTTTTGTTACTCAGATCATGGCTTAAATTTTACCTTCTACCCCCCCTAGGTTTTCCCAGAACATCAGACCTAAGGTCATTAAAAAAAAAAAAAAAAAAAGATCACATCATCCTTTCTGCACAGCACAGATTTTTAAAAATTATTTCTTTATTTGGAAATTTATTTTATTCTCTATTATGGGATCTGTTTGAAGATTTACTTGGTAGCAAGCTCCAAGAGAGCAGAGACATTGTTTGGTGTATTTGCAGCTCTGTTCCCAGCACCTAGCCTGGCGTGTGTAGCAGATACTCAGGAACTCTTTGTTAAATGCATGAATAAATATTTTGGCCCAACTGAGATCATTTAGATGACACTCAGAAATTTTTTTTTCTTTTCTGAATTTAAAATCATTAATGAAGAACTCATGTCACCTTTCAGATTTTATTGTTGATAGTTTTGTGAAGAGCTAGCAATTAGAGTTTAATTAATGTAGTTTTTCTAAAGTTGGACAGGTCTTAAGTAAAAGATGAACCCAACCAGAATGCTGCTAGGTAAATATTCTCACTTGAGCTGCAATGTATTTTTTTCCTTTCTTCCTTTTAATAAAGATTTTTTTTTGTTTATTTTTAGAGGGAGGGGAAGGGAGAAAGAGAGGGAGAGAAACATCAATGTGTGGTTGCATCTCATGCACCTCCTACTGGGAACTTGACCCGCAACCCAGTCATGTGCCCTGAACAGGAATCAAACAGGTGATTTTTCAGTATCTGGGATGAGGCCCAGCCTACTGAGCTACACTAGTCAGAGATTTTTATTTTTTATTTTTTAACTCAATGCCTGAGCATCTGACTGGGAAGTGAGATATTTGGCTACCTAGGTAGGATGGATTTATTTTGTTCATTTATTCCTTTAAGAACTGTTATTTGCCATCCTGCATCAAGTGGTTACTCAGTACTCCCACTATACCTTCCAGAGTTTAAATACTCTTGAAGAAAAGTAACACTTTTCATCATAACACTAAGTTAAAGTTCTTTATAATAATTTATATCGTGATATAGTAATAACAGTCCCCTCAAAGACTAAACAGTTCATATCTAATTTCAACTAATGTGTTGGTAAAACCCCTCCCCTGCAAGGAATTGAGGAAAACATTAAAGAGGAAAAAAAATTCATGAATGGAAAGAGGAGAAAGAAAAAACTAACTACCTTACAAAAATACAAAATAGGTTCAATCGTGTTGAAAGAGTTAAACAGTATTCCATCTTAGTTAGGAAATCATTAAGAGTACTCAAAGAGAAAAGGGGTGGACCAGGTAGACTGTTAAGGAGAATTGCACAGCCTCTGTCTGGCCTCTAAGAACTTTGAATCTGTGAATGGTTTCAATGTGCCCCAGGAGAAAGTAGAATAATTGTCCGCCTAGGCTTAAGGGATAAAAAGATTTGTGTGTGTGTGTGGTTTTATGTGGGATTATTTTTCTTCTAAACTATTTTACTTACCTAGCCCACTTCACCTCGGTAGGTAAGTGTGATTTGGGTGGATACCATTACACACAATAATTTGACCTCTGTGAAGTTAAACTATACAATCTGGCTTGTCATTGCATTTTCTGCTTTTAAAATTTAGTAAGGCTACAAGTAATTTTGTCCTATTTGAGAATTAGGGATTTGTTATTTGCACAATGGATGTTTCTTGAACTTATACGCTAGGTATTATTCTTAGACCTGGGTGTGTATCAGCAAAACAAAGAAAAATGCCTACCCATTTGGAATTTACTTTGTAATGGAGGGAGGGAGATACAAAATAATAAGGATAGAGTATATCAATTAGATGAATGAAAAGTGTTGTAGAGGAAGATAAACAGGGAAAGAGATAAAGGAGCTTTGGAAATCAAATAGGTTTTGGTTTACAGTAGAATGGTCAGGGAAGGCTTCATTAAGATGACATTTGAGTAAAGACCTAAAAGGTATGGAAGGGAGCCACATGGATATCGGAGGAAAGAGTGTGCAAGGCAGAGAGAATAACATGCACACAGTCATTATTTAACTTATACTCCTATAAAGACTTTATGACATTGCTGGTAGGGTTATAAATAAGTACAGTTTCTTTGGGGGGCAGTTTAACAATTATAAATGCATGTACTCTTTGACCCAGTGAATCTACCTCTAGGAATTTCTGCAGCAGATAGATATACTCAATCATGTGCAAAATAACATTAGTACAAAGATGTTTATTTTAGGATAATTTATAGCAGCAAGAACATTGAAACAAATGTCCATCTATTGTTGCTGGTTAAATAATTTTTGGTACATCCATACAAGGAAACACTGCATCTATAAGAAAAGATTGAGGCAGCTCTGTGTACATTGACATAAATTATCTCTAAACTATGGTAAATGACAAAACAATACAGAAAGCGTGTGTGCATGCTGCCATTTGAGAAGAAAAGAATAAATATGCAATTGCTTGTTTATGTCTAATATATCAGGAAGGGTATATAGAAAACTGAAACTTATCCTATGGGGAAGAAACCCGGTAACTAGGGCCAAAGGTGGGAAGAAAACTTCATTGTATACCCTTGTAAACCTTGTGAACTTTGAATTATGTGAATGGTTGGTTACCTTCTAAACAGTTACAAATATGTTACTATAACCTTTAATCTTGTGTTAAGATGGAATTGTCAGTCACCTGAAGAAGCAGGCAGGACCAGCTTCAGTTCCTCTTAAGACGGAGGAAGAATTTGAGAAGTTCATGGGTGAAAAAGATGCCTCTGTGGTGGGTAAGTAGCAAATAGTTGATTATGCCACAAAATCATCAACTTGGTTTAAAAAAATCCTGTATGTCTGAGTAAACAACAAAGTTAAAACAGCTTTGGTAACATTTGGGGCAGTTAAAATTATAACTCACAGAATTAGCTCAGCATTACTATAAAGGGGAAAACTTGGTGTTTTTTGAGTGTCTTTGTTCTTACAGATATAAACATTTAATTTCAATCAAAAGGCTAAAGCAGGGATATCTCCAGCGTTTTGTATCACGTCCTAAACTCTGAACTTTAACTCAAGTAATAAGGTAGTTAAGATTGAAGATGGTGTTTTAAGATGGAGGACACAAGTAAATAAGAAACCTGTGTCTGCTATTTTCATAGTCATAGGGCAATTTAAAATTTAAGATCAAATTGTTAGGATTTGTGTATATTTTTAAATAACAAGCCAACTAAACATTTTCTACATGTTGGGTGTTCTTTGTTTTGTTTTAAATGTATAATACATTTGACTGAAGAAATAAAACTGACTTTCTAGCCATAGAAGATGGTTTATAATTTAAATTTAACTGGACGCCACTTACCACCTGGATTTTACTGATTTCAGTATACATTTTACCAGGAATTAACCACAAGCAGACATTTTTTAAAGTGTATTTTATTGATTATGCTATTACAGTTTTCCCAGTCTTTTTTCCCTTTTGTTCCCCTCTGCCCAGTACCACCCTTCCCTCTAGCAGACCCCCTCTTAGTTCATGTCCATGGGTCATGCATATATAAGTTCTTTGTCTTCTCCATTCTTAACTACTCCCCTATTTTGTACCTACAATTTATACTTCTTTTTTAAAAAGATTATTTATTTATTTTTAGAGAGGGGAAGGGAAGGAGAAAGAAACATTAATGTGTGGTTGCCTCTCACACGCCACCTACTGGGGACTTGGCCCACAACCCAGGCATGTGCCCCACACTGGGAATCGAACCTGTGACCCTTTGGTTCACAGGCTGGTACTCAGTCCATTGAGCCATACCAGCTAAGGAGCATTTATGCTTCTTAATCCCTGTACCTTTTTCCCCATTGCCCCCTTCCTGGACTTGTATGTTTATTTCTTTTGCCAAATTAGGAGAGTTTTCTTCATTATTTTTTGAAATAAGATTTCTTGCTCCTCCTTTTCTCCTTCTGGCATCCCTATGATTCAGATGTTGGTATGTTTGGAGATGTCTTATTCTTTCCTAGTGTTTTTTTATTTGTTTGTTTTTGTTTTTAATTCTTGTATCTTCATTCTGTACTGGTTGAATGTTTATTTCTTCCTTATGTTCCAAATGGTTGGTCTGAATCCTGACTTCCATCCCTTCACTGCTGGTTCCCTATGGATTTGTTTTATTTCACTTAGGGTAGCCTTCACTTCTTCCCTTATGCTTTTGTCGTGCTCACTGAGTTCTCTGAGCATCCTTATCACCAGTATTTTGAACTCTGCGTGTGATAGGTAGGCTATCTCCATTTTGCTTAGTTCTTTTTCTGAAGTTTTGATCTTTTATTTCATTTGGGCCATATTTCTTTGTCTCCTCAATTTGGCAGCCTCTGTGTGTTTTTTTCTGTGTATTAGGTAGAGCTGCTCTGACTTCCTGTGTTAGCGCACCTGTTATATTATAATGGGCGGAGCCTTAGACATTCACCAGGGCAGGGCAACCCACTTCTCTACTTTGTGGTGCTGTATGTTAAGGAGGGGTCAGAGAGGGAACACTACCACTTGCTGCGCATTCACCCTGTTTCCTGTCACTTGGCCCACTTCCTGTGTGCAACTGGTACCCCTCTTGTTGTTGCCCTGGTGGTGGTTCCAAGAGTTGGGTGGGTTTGTGAACTTCTACGACCCTGGAGAATCAAACAGATTCTCCTGAGAGACCGGCAGTTTCTTTCACCACCTCAATCCCCACTAGTTTTTACAGCCAGAAATTATGAGGCTTTATTTTCCCAGTGCTGCAACCTTGGGCTGCGTGGCCCAGCCTGGGGCTGGGATCACTTGCTTCCCGGGTGTCGCTCATGGTTTTTATCCACCACACATGAATGTGGGACTGCCCATTCTGTTGGCCTCCACCTGGCCACCCCCCACACCACGTCCTCTCTGGCCAGCTTCCCAGCTGCACCCCCCCACCCGTCTGGATAAATATTCTTTAAATCCTTAGTTTTTGGACCTCCATATAGTTTGATTTTCTGGCAGTTCTGATTGTTTTTTGTTTTGAGGTCAGTTGTGATCCTTATGGTTGTGTGAGGAGGCTAAGCATGTCTACCTACACCTCCATTTTGCCTGGAAGCGGTCTGCAAGCAGACATTTATTACACACTTGCTTCATTGACTTTTCCAAACTTGAAGGTCTAAAGACAAGACAAAAGATATGGTGAAGTAATTTACATTCGTTTTGACATACTGCCTTATTTAATCCTGAAACTCTAAGAAGTAAAGCAGTTTGGACATATTTATTCTGTTGTGGAAAACTAGAGTTAAGACTTGAACCCTAGGCCCTAGCCAGGTAGCTTAGTTGGTTAGGTCATTATCCTGATACACCAAGGTTTTGGGTTCAATCTCTGGTCAGGGCACATACAAGAAACACCAATGACTACATAAAGAAGTGGAATAACAAATCAGTGTTTCTCTTTGTCCCTGTCTCTCCCCATAATCAAAAATAAAAAATTTTTTTAAATGATTTGAACCCTGACAAATCCTCTCTCTTGGCTCCTTCAAAAATATTTTGCTGAAGGGTAAAGGAAGAATTCTCATCCTAAATAGTTTGTCAGATTTCCTAGATAGTCATGGCAAGCAGACCCAGTCCTCCTGCCTACTTTGCTCTGCTTGTTCATTATACAATGAAGGCTTTAAAAAACAGAATAATTTAAAAGTTTTGAATTATGTCTTAGCACTTTTTGTTTCTTCCATGTGTTTGACATTTTCCATGTAGGTTTTTTCAAGGATCTATTCAGTGAAGCTCACTCTGAATTTCTAAAAGCAGCCAGCAACTTGAGGGATAACTACCGATTTGCACACACCAATGTTGAGTCTTTGGTGAACAAGTATGATGATAATGGAGAGTAAGTAACTGAGATGAATGCCCTTGTAAATCTCTGGACCAATGCTGTTATGTGGACTGGTGATTTTTAATGACAGTTTTGTTTTTGTTTTTTCAAAAGGTTTATTGAGCATTTGTTAGGCATTAACCTAAATGCTGGGCACTGTTACGACCTTTGAGGGGCGTCTAGTAGGGAGAGATGGTAGATATGGGGGGAAATGTAAGCATCATAGGTGCTGTGATAGATATATATGCTGGGGGTGGTGGGAGTACAAAGGGTTTTTTGCTTTGGGGATGCCGAGTAGTATCAGAAAAACTTCATAGAGGTGACTTTTGGAGTGTGCCTTGAAAGATGAAATTTTTCAGGCAGCTTAGGCAGTTGGGATAAAAGTTATTCCAGATGGAGCAGCAAGTGTTCAGGCCACAGGCTATGAAACAATCTAGGCGTGTTGGGACCTACAGTGCTGTTGGTAACTGGGGTCATAGTGAGAAAGGCAAGGTTGGAGAGGTAAGTAGAGACCAAAGTATAGAAGATGTTAAGTGCCATTCAGAAGAGTTCATTCACATTATTAGTTTTAGACATGGGAGAGTCATCAAAAGACTTTGAGTCGGGATGTAATGTGATTAATTTTATGTTTTAGAAGAAAAGTCACTGGCACCCATAAGGCGGTGGTTTGAAAAGGGAGAGGTGGCAAGGCAGTTAAGAGAGTCTCAACTAAGGGTGTCTGGGAGTCTAAATTAAGATGGTATTAGGGGCAATGGAGAGGAAGGAGTGAGTATTAAGAAATGTAAACAATAGGATTCAGTCCCCAGTCTGTGTGAAAAAGGGAAAAGCTAGAGTGAGTCCAGTTTTCCAGAGACTTGAATGCTGGGCCTGTGACAGTCATCTCAAGCTGGGAAAAGGACAAAACAAATTTGGATGAAATGATGATGAGTTCTGTTTTGTCACAGCATTTGAGAAGTTTGTGTGACATGCAGGTGGTGAAGACCCAGTGGACAGACAGTTGGATAGATGAGACTCTAGAAGTTCTGAACTAGAGATAGAGACTTATAGGCCAGCCACTTAAACAAATGATTATGGAAACCACTGGAGTAGATGAGATCACTCAGGCTGAGCACATGAAGTGTGCCAAGGGCTAGTGTTATTTATTCATCTTTAACAAACTATGTAGTGTTTTTACTATGTATCATTTACTGTTAACTCATTTAATCCTCTTGAAAACCCAGTGAGGCAGATCTGTTCTTTTCTCCATTTTACAGAAGAGAAAGCCCTCAGAGAGGCTAAGTAATTTTTCTAGCTTCACATAGTAACTGGCAGAACTAGGATTTGAACTTAGAAAGTCTGGCTGCAGAGTTGGTAGCCTTGATCATAAGGCTCTACCTTTTAGATTGAGACTCCAGGTCTGTAATGGATTTAGAGCCACTTGTGGCTCATTTAAGGACACCACGTGTCAGCCTTTTAACCTTAGATTTATTCACTGTGGCTGCCTCCCATGCTTGCCATTTAAAGTGGTCTACCAGCACCTGATTAGAAGTTTTACTGAGAAGCCTTCACATAAGGCTTATGTGAAGGGTGTCTTAAGTTCTTCATGTGTAGTACACACTGAGGCCATATCATCATTAAAGATAACTGCCTGGTTTCTGTTTTTTGAGAATAACTGCTCTGAAAATGGTAACTGTAATGGTTAATATTGATAAGAGTATGAGAGAGACGTTAGGACTTAAGCGATAAAATTGTATATGAGTGTGTGTACAGTAGTAGGGAGAGGAGGAATGAATGAAGGAGAAGCTAGAAGTGAGACAGTGGTAGTTAGAACAGTGGTATTTTCTATGAAAGTTGGTATTAGATACAAACCTGTGACTCAGAACCAAATTGGTGTTCAATTTTAGGTGAACAAAAGGGCTAGAAATTAAGGAATTTGCTCTAAGTATTCCAATGGTAAGAGGAAAGCTTGGCTTAGGTGGAGTGGCATAGTAATGCCAGCAAGAAAAAAATTGGTAATTTTGATTTATTGATATAGAGAAATTTAGAACAAAGGAATTTTTGATGAACTCAAGACAAACATTATAATTGTATAACTATCTATAGAATATTACATCTGTGAAAAAAATCTTAAAGATATTTTCTCTAAAGTAACTTTCTTTGTGGCAAAAGGTGGCAGGGTAAGTGGCATTGTACCTTCAAATAAGAGCAAGCTCTGATTTATTTTATTATGTATATTGGGGCTTTCGGGGAAGTTGGTTCTCTTTGTTATTGTTTTTAAAGGTTTAAAAGTTAATCATATACTTTAACCTTGTTTTGTACTCATGAGAGAGCTGATTCCAGAAGAATTAAATTAATACCTAGTGCCAGGAGATTAATGGGGTTAGCACCCTTGTGTTGATAAGGTCATGTTGCTAGGTCTCTGGTCCCGGAAAGAGTCCATATGTACTTGAATTAAATGGTGGTAGTGAAAGTGGCACCAAGAGTAGATAGTCTGAGCTTTAAATAAAATATGGGAGACAGTTCTGCTGCAGTCTGCCTACTAAGGCTTTTTGTTTTTTAAGGGGTATCACCTTGTTTCGTCCCTCACATCTGATGAACAAGTTTGAGGACAGAACTGTGGCATATACAGAAGAGAAAATGACCAGTGGCAAGATTAAAAAATTTATCCAGGAAAACATGTGAGTGCCTTTTTATACCTTGTTTGGGATTTCTTGGCTTGTTTATATTTTGTTTATAATAGTTGAAGTTTATATTAATGCAAGTGTGGGCCCTAGAACTCCATTCTCCTATAAGGTCTATAGCTAAGTATTTGACCTAGATGTTGAAATTTTTTTTCCTTTTTAAGTGCTATCACTTGCTTTGTGATAATTCCATAATATAGCTATAAACATACCAAATTTTATAATGTATTATTTCATTTCAGTTTTGGTATCTGCCCTCACATGACAGAAGATAATAAAGACTTGATACAGGGCAAGGACTTACTTGTAGCTTACTATGATGTGGACTATGAAAAGAATGCTAAAGGTTCTAACTACTGGAGAAACAGGTAATAGTCATTTTTCCCCTTTGCAAACTAGTTTACTAGTGTTTAAACTGTTCTTCTAGATACCCTGTTACCATGTGTGATGGGAGAGCAGGTAAGATGGAACCAGTTTGTTCCCAACAGCATGAAAAGCCATAAGGACACATAACGTACCAAAAACTATTTCTAAAATCTAGTAGGTGTATCTTCTATAGGTGTTCCTTTGCCTTGTGATACAGCTAATTACTTACTGCAGAGTAAAAGATGCAAATGTGATCTAAACTGTACTCTAAAACATTGTGCCTACTTACCCATTGAGACTGTTGAGGCATTTTAGCCTTATAAACTTTCTTTTCAGATTAGTCATTATGTCTGCAGTGTGTGTGTGTGTGTGTGTGTGTGTGTGTGTGAGAGAGAGAGAGAGAGAGAGAGAGAGAGAGAGAAGATTCAGTGGGAATGGTCTATTTGATCAGGCACCACCAGTGTGGCAGTGAAGTTCAGTAGGACATTGGAGTATACCATCATCCTGCGTCAGTGCTCAAGAACACAAGTTCAGACTGATTCCAGAGGCCTGCATAGACTATAAAACTTAGTCTTTGCTTTCTAGGCTAATTAGCTAACCCTAACTAGTTCTTGATCTTGGTTTCAGAAGTGCTTTACCACCCTGATGTATCTTGGCATAAGTTTTTCTTGTTTCCCACAGGGTGATGATGGTTGCAAAGAAATTCCTGGATGCTGGACACAAACTCAACTTTGCTGTAGCTAGCCGCAAAACCTTTAGCCATGAACTTTCTGATTTTGGTTTGGAAAGCACTGCCGGAGAGATTCCTGTTGTTGCTATCAGAACTGCAAAAGGAGAGAAGTTTGTCATGCAGGAGGAGTTCTCGTGAGTTACAAGTTAGCATGGGTTTGGGATTTGATTCTGCAAGGAAACAAATTAAAAGCTTTTTATACTACTGAGAATTTATAACGAATGTTCAAATGTGAAGACAGGTCTTCTAGTCAGGACCTATGACTGTCACTTTTCTCGATTAATTATGGGTACTTACTTTAAGAATCATCATCAATAATAAATTCTGAAAAATACCAAAAGGATGGAAGCTTGAAACTCTAACGTGATTGTTTCCACCCTACCATTAGAAATAGTGCCACAGAGGACACTGGACAGGTCTTTGAGACTGGTGTAATTTTAGACCGACCTAATCCCCTCCCAACCCTACAGAATGTTTTTTCTTCTTGGAATACCACATTGGCCTAAAGTAAACTCAGGCAAATGGAGAGGTCTTATCCCCAGATAATTTCGACCTTCACCTTTGAGACTTTGGGAGATGAAAACAAGCAAAAAATCTTCCTTGTGAGTAAAATCAGTAAAATGAGAGTCCATAAATAGGCACTGTTCCTCTAGAGCAACAGAATAAGACTGGTTCTTAGGCAGAATTGAATTTTTAGAAGACCAGTGTTTTCTTCCTTCTCTGCCCTTTTTAATCCTCAAAAAACACACTAGAAATACAAAGAAGTGGTTGATTTTTTGTTTAGTCAGCAATCCTGCATATTGAGAGATAAGAGTACCCCTCCCCCGTTTTTAAGCTTCTGATTTCTTTCTAGTCTTGAAATTAAAGGTAAAATATGTAGAAAGTATTCTAAGAAATTGCTTTTAATCCTCTCAATGGTGGGAGTAAATTAACAAACCCGACCCTTTCCAATTGACAGGCGTGATGGCAAGGCTCTTGAGAGATTCCTGCAGGATTACTTTGATGGCAGCCTGAAGCGATACCTAAAGTCTGAGCCAATCCCAGAGAGCAATGATGGGCCCGTGAAGGTGAGGTGCTCACAGTCTCTCCAAACCTCTGTACCACTGCCTCTCATTTCTTCCAGAAATTCTGGGTCTAAGTGAAGACCTTGCTGGCTATCATGTTTTTGTTTGCCCTCGCTCCCAACCCCAGACAATAAAATAAGCATTGACAGAGCTCATAATGGTCAATGAGAGCAAGAGTATAAAACCTTCATAGAGTTTTCTGGTGGTATTTATATCAGAGCAAGGTTATTCTTTGGGACAGAAGAAGCTAACCCCTAAGAATAATTTTAAGATTGTTGCTATGAAATTATTTTAAGGAAGGATTGGGTAGCACTTGTTTCCTGCAACTTCCTGGACATATTTTAACAGGAGACAGACATAGGAATGAGTTGGTTTCTGGGGGATGGCAACATTTTAAATTGTCTATAAATGTGATTTGGGTTTCTGTGATATATTTTCAGTGGCAACACATCAAATTTGAGAGGGATTGGGTACAGAAACAAATACAACTCATGAATTTATTCTTCAGCTTACCTTACCAACTAGAGAATCTTTTGTGTTTTCCAGGTAGTAGTAGCAGAGAATTTTGATGAAATAGTGAATGATGTAAACAAAGATGTGCTGATTGAATTTTATGCTCCTTGGTGTGGCCACTGTAAGAATCTGGAACCTAAGTATAAAGAACTGGGAGAGAAGGTAAGTCTGAACCATATTCTAAAGATAAAATTTTAGTTGGGATGTTTACACATGTTTTTTGCATTGGCTAATTAGTTCAGTACTTAAGTACTGGTAGATTTTTTCCAACCATATCCTCCAATTTACTTACTTTCTCCTGACTTCCGCCTGGTGTCTAGCCTGAACAGTGCCTCCAATACCTGCTTTAACACCACACAGACTCAACCTAGGGTATAGTTAACAGTATCCAGGCTTCTGAATTTTGGTAATGGCTTATATGAAACCATTATGTTCTTTTATCTTAAAATACTTGGCTTAGCCTTTACAATGTCTTATTTAGCCTAGATAGTTTTGAAGGTGGTTGTATATAAAGCCTTAATATGGGACCAAGAGAGAAAAGGAAAAACAAGATTCTGTGTGCAAGTGTTAACTGCTCACCCCATCTGAACAGCAAAACTTACCCAGGTGTTTAAAAATATGGTTGTTTTAAGTCCTGATTTGACTAAGTGTCCCTCAGTCACTGAAAACTTGAATTTTAAAGATCTAACCTTTTTATTAACAGCTTAGAAAAGACCCAAACATTGTCATAGCCAAGATGGATGCCACAGCCAATGATGTGCCTTCTCCATATGAAGTCAGAGGGTAAGTAGATTAAAAACTAATAAAAACATATAGGCAGTTGACCAAAAAAAGCATAAGCTGGTAAACCATTTTTTGTATTGGGTTTAATTTGGGGAGCTCTCATACTCCAGTTGAACCCAGCACCACTGATGCCTTCCTGGCATAGAGTTCTGCAGCATGAACCTACACTACTGCCACAGATTTTGTGAGCTTTCATATTCCTGAGTTTTGGTAGGATGTGACCCTAGCAACTGATGGAGATGTATCTAGTCAGATTAGAAATCATGGAGAAAAGTTATTTCCAGAAATAGTTATTGGGGCAGTATATGTCACAGTTACTCTGGAACTAGAAATTAGTCATCTGTTTTTGTTTTTCTTTCCCCAGTTTTCCTACCATCTACTTCTCTCCAGCCAACAAAAAGCTAGATCCAAAGAAATATGAAGTAAGTGCATTGTTTCATCTCTCCACAAGTAAACACACACATACTCACACATGCTTGTACATACCTAGCTCTTTAATTAAGTTTCTAAAACTGGAAACTCAGCTCTCATTGTCAATATATGTGGTTGTTATTGTACTTTTACAAACTCAGGACTCTTCCTATTGGGAGGGGGAACCTATGTTCTTTAAAAAATTAAATTTTCAAAGTAATCTTTCTGTTTTCAGGGTGGCCGTGAATTAAGTGATTTTATTAGCTATCTACAGCGAGAGGCTACAAATCCCCCTATAATTCAAGAAGAAAAACCCAAGAAGAAGAAGAAGGCACAGGAGGATCTCTAAAGCAGCAGCCATACATGCCACTTTGTAAAAGACTCTTCCACCAGAGCTGGGAAAACCATTGGGGAGGACTGGGACCCATGTGGGATTATTACCTCTCAGGGCTGAGAGGGTAGATGGATATAATCTGAATCCTGTTAAATTTTCTCTAAACTGTTTCTTAGCTGCACTGTTTATGGAACTACCAGGACCAGTTTATGTTTATGGTTTGGGGAAAAAATGTGTTGTGGGGTTGGGAATTGTGTTGGGGGGTTATTTTCTAATTTTTTTTTGTACATTTGGAACAGTGACAATAAATGAGCCCCCTTTAAACTTTTTTTTCCATGAGCTGGGAAGCCAGTGGTTCTCTAGACCAGCGCTGTCCAATAGAACTTTCTGTGATAATGGAAATGTTCTATAACCTTCATTGTCTAATACATGTGGCTATTGAGCCTTGAAATGTGGCTAGGGACTACATCTTAAATTTTCGTTAGTCACACATAGGTCTGGTGGCTGTAGCCCAACTGTCTGTGTCCACAGTTATCACCTATAAATCCTTCCCCAATTTTTCTCTCTGTCCTTAGATGTTTATTGCCCAGACCCCTAGCTTGATAATCAGAACAGATAAGGAACCTTTCCTATTGGGTTCTGTTTCTGACCCTGTCTGTGTCTTAAGGATGGATAGCTATATTATCTTTGTCATGCAGCTGAGCATGTTTATATTTTCCAAGGTCTGTTGTCTGTGTAGAAATGCCCTGTGTGGGTGTGGCATCAGGTTGGCGTTCCATCCAAGTTGTTTCAAGAATTGCTGACACTGCTGGGTGCAGCTCCCTTTCTCCCCCAAAGCCCAGGGTGTGGCCTATTAACTTTCCAGTGGATGGGGAAAGGCAGTATCATTCCTGGTTGTGAGTGAAGCATCCACTTCCTTTTGCGATCAAGAGGAATGAAGTGAACCGTTTCTTCTCTTTTTATGAGTAAATCCAAATCATATCCCTGGTTATAGTTTTCAGTCACTGCATATTTCTAGATCGGAGCCCTGATTGTGATCTTCAACCTTGATATTTAGAAAAGGAGAACTTTATTCCTGCAGTCATTTCTAGTTGTCAATTATAAGATAGATTTCGTAGAACCTTATAGCAAAATATGTAATAGCATCATCCATAGTGCTTTGAAGTAAAGAAGCCTAACCATAATCTTGGAGATTCTAATTCATAAGACCTGAGCTGGGATCTGAAGATCAAATTTTTTAGAGAGCCCAGAAATGGTTCAGACAGAGCCAAATGTATGAACCACTGCCTTGGAAGATGTAAGGAAAACATACAGGTTTGTACAAAGGACACAAACAGTTTTAATTTTTTAGCCATGTTTGTAAAAGAATTCACTTTAGTACATGGGTAAGACCCCAGGCCCTTGCCATTTGATCTAGGTATATTGCAAGTTCCTACAAGTTCTCATTGTTTTGTCAGGGAGGCTACCAGGCCGAATTCTAATGTCCTTGAGGTATCTTGTCCTGGAAATGGTGTCCTTTCTCAGGATTTGAAAATGACTTGGCTGAACTACAGGTGAAGAAGCCAAGCCTCTGCTGCTTTTCCTAGTTTCCTGGGCACAGTTACAGAGTGCTGGCACTGTGCCCACATTCTAAAATTTAAAATATGGCAACAATGAAGCTAAAACCTTAACCTAGAGCAGTTCTCCTACTTGTACCACGAACTCAGCAATTACAAGAGCAGTTTTACTCTTTAGTTTCTAGCTGCTTTTTCCTTCATATCTCACTGGGTACTACTTCAGCTGCCCCTGTTCTTTTCCTCAAACTCCAGGATGAGACCTTTAATGTGGGACAATTTCTGATGCAGGTACTCACAGCGACGCTTTTCTTCCCTGTAACCTGGGTACCTCTGAAGAGAAAAAGCATCCATGTCAAGAAAAATCCATTTTTACCCTTCTTGCTACCACTCCCAGACCTATTCTTACCTTCCTGAACTTTTTATATTCCTGGACTATCTTTTCTTCCAGCACCTGAAACAAAGAAAATGCTAGCACCAACTTTAACCTTGAAAAAGCTCCAGGTCTCTTAAGGGAGGGAAGTAACTTCCTTCTCATGCTACCAAATGATACAGAATAACTTTTCTCTCAAAACAGGCTGGCTTGTCACTTTGGTCACTAACCAAACAGGTTTATGGTCAGTTAGCATCGATTTGGTGGCCAGTAGAGCTGGAAAACGAGCCTGGATCCTGTCCTTACCTTGTGTTCTGGAGTTCCTCGCTGAACTCTCTTGATTTCTGCTCCCAGCTCTGTGAACCTTTGGCTTACAGCCCCAACTCGAGCATGCAGGATGCGGTACTCAACATAATCTGCCTCAAAATCCTTCTCATAAGCATGTTGCTGTTCTGCACTGTGGATGGCCCCATATTGCCTGCCAGGAACAGAGTGTTAAATTACCACCTGCAGTTTTAGTATCCCCCCACCCCCCAAAGCTCCCAGCTCCCAGAGAGTGCATGTTAATATCTCATACACAAGGCTTGATAAAATCACAAATGGCAGGGAACTCACAGGAGGTAATCTGGTACCTCTTCAGGGCTTGGGGATTCAGAGTCTGAAGGAAACAAGAAGACATGTAATTTACTATCTGCCTTTTTCCACCACTGGCAGCTTTACACTCCTCTCAACTCTTACCTGCTTGAACTGAGGGACTGTGCTCAAGCCTGGGGCCCACGTTGTCATGTTTATCTTCTGGCTCCCAGTCTCCCTCTTGTAGGTCCTGACTGGGCAGCTCTTGTAAGGGACTTGGAGCTAGAGGCAGAGTCCTGAGCCTCTTTCCTTTCAGTTCTATAGTGCCCCCGGGTGCTGGACGCTTCTGTTGGGGAAAATACTTCGGTCACACCAACAGTATGTCAGAAGCCTCCTGTTCTTTCTCTTGAAAATTACTTCCATATATTGATATCTGTGAACATGAGAATGAAGGCTCCCAGTTTTTAAATTTCGGTCTGATTGGACAAATCTTTTTCTTTTTTTATCCTCACCTGAGGACATCCTTACTGATTTCAGAAAGGGAGAGAAACACTGATGTGAGAAAAACAATTGGTTGCCTCATGCATCCTGACTGGGGACCTAAGTATGTGTCTTGACAGGAATCAAACCCATGATCTTTCTGGCTTAGAGGACTAACCCAAATCTACTGAGCCACATGAGCCAGGGTTGAAAAACTCCTGCTATTACAGCTTACTTTGTCCAGATGTTTCCGGCTAGCAGAGGAAGGCAGTGTCTGATTGGGTCCTCTGTTTGGAAGACGGGCCTGGTTTCTGGGATATTTGAAGGGGGAATGAGAGAGATGAAGACGAGGGTAAGAGGTAGGGCTCGATTTCCTGTACCATTTAGGGTAGAGATTTACAGAAGATGACACCAGGACTTCCCAGCGTAGTCCCACCCTGGCCCAAGTACCTCACTTCCCACTGTGCCATGTGTTCCCTTGAGGATCCTGGGAGTGCCTGTTCTTGGCTATTTGCCAGTGGATCTGGCACCTGGCAGGGAAAGTGGCATGGGCACTTGGCTACCCAGGCTTCACGCTTTGCCCCACCTTACCCCAATTCCCTGCAATTCCTGGCCTCACCTCTTCTAGTGCCATCAGTGACCGTGAGGCTGCATTTCCAGAATAGTCTCCCATGTTCTGCCAATTCTCAGGATCTCTGGCATCTTCAGTCAGGCTGTGTCCCTGAACTGAAGATGGGGCTGGGATAGAATCCATGGCTGCCCAAATAGTGAGGCGCTCCCTGAGTGGGCCCAGGCAGTGCAGGCGGTTAGGTCCAGATCTGGAAAGGGGTGATGGAAAATAAACCAGGAGGATGGAAAACATTTAAAGTGCCTCTGGACATCTTCCTGGACTTACCACAGACCGGTTTTCAGCTGCTACCTGTTTGTTCCCCCTTACCTGCCTAAGCGTTGGCACACAAGGTCCAAGCCACCACCACCAGGGCCCTCCTGGCCACACTGGGACACTGTGAAGGAGAAGAGGCAGGAGCAGCCAGGGCCTGGGAGCCTCAGATACTGGGGTGAAAGGAGACCATAAGCCCCATGAAGTTAGCCCTTCCCCCTCCTGCCAATGCCTTTCCTCCCTGAGCCAGCCTGAGACAAGATGGGTCCCGCGAGACTCGTTAGCACACCAGGTGCAGCTGGGCCTGAGCTCCCAGGAGGCTAACACAGCACAGTTTCTTCAACCGCAGCCTCCTGGGACCACAACCCCAGCAGCCCCCTCACCCCACTCAGGGTTCAGTTCTCAGGAACTTCCTCAGACCTTGACGGTTCTCAGACTCCCGCCCTGACCATACCGTCCCTGGGCGCCAGTCTGTTCTCCCCGAACCCCACACAGTTCACAGAGCCCAGGTCCACACTTACCCCTCGGTTGCCTTGGAAGGCGATCACTGGCCGAACCTGAAAGGAGAGCACAGACACAAGCTAAGCGCAGGCGAAGCGGCGTCCCCGGGATCTGGCGTTGAGTGCCTGGAGGGACCTGCCTCATGGACTTCACTTGGAGAAGTGGGGAAGCCGAAGCCTATGAGTGCCGCTCCCCATACGCAGGTCCCTTCGTCGGGGTCTCCGGCTGAGGCCTGAAGTCCGGAGGGGTAGGGGATAGGGAAGGTGGGGTCCGGGGCCATCGCACCTGTTGACGCTGACACTCTTGCAGCGCTCGCAACGCCGGTTCATTGAGCCTGAGCAGCAGGAGGCTGGTCCGGGCAGCTGGGGTGAAGCAGAGCCGGAGCTTCCCACTCAGAAACTCCTGAGGTCCTGCCATAGCTGCGAGGTCGAGCACAAGCAGAACCCGAGACACAGGCGAGGGCCACCAAGACTACTTTCGCTCTGCAGGGCTAGACTTGCACAGCCTGTAGCCCAGGTCGGCCCCGCCTCCAGCCAGGACCCCACCTCCGACCCCACCCACAGTCACCACCGCTCCCAAGGTTTCCCAGCCACGTGGGCGGTGCCTCTCAAGCGCGCGCAGTCGGCGCAAACACCAGCAGATTCTTCTGGGTTTGGCAGGCACCTCATTAGGCTTTCGGAAGGGACTCTCTCAGTTCCCGGGGGAAAGGCTGCGTGCAGCCTCAGACTCTTTCACCCGGAATCTCCAGTCCTGCCTCAGTTTCTCCAGCCAACCTGAACTCAGTGTTGCTGTCTGTAAGTGAAGCTGAACCTGCAAGTTCCGGAGACTTCTAAGCGCAGAGGGGTGGGAGAGAAGGCCTTGTTGCTAGGCGCTCGGAAGGCCAGGAGCCCCCAGGGTCTAGAGGATGGCTGACTCAAAGGGGAATTCCCGACTCCAGCACCTGCTGCAACACTTTTGCTTTTTTCTGCCCGCGGTACTGATGCAGACCCGAAACCGGTTTCTAACTAAAGCTGGAGAGAAAACTGGCCCCGTCAGTGTCGTGGCAGCGGTGAAGCTACCCTGTGCAGACTAGAACGTCCCCCACCGGTGGGGGAGCGTGGGTGATGGCAGAAGAATTGCAGGGCAAAGGAGAGGGAGAATTCAGTCCCCAGTTGCCCCTTCTGGCCTAAACTCGTGAGACTGGTGTGAAAGGGAATTGGCCCGCTCCCTGAGGAGGACGAAGAGGTGCCACGAAGTTGCCACACCTTCCAAAGGTCCAGATCCTGGTGCAGTGAGACCCCAGGACGAGTCTGAGGTCGGCCCTTGGTATTTACACTCCTCCCCATTTGGGTATGTTTCCCAAGACCCCTGGTGTTCTCTTATCTAACCAGGATCCCTCTGCTAAATCTCTAAACATGTATAACCCCAGGTGACCTTAATAGCCCACACCCCAAATCAAATTAACTATACTTACATTCTTCAAAACTCATCAAATTGTACTTAAAATTTTATATTTTAATATATGTACATTATACCTTAATAAAGTTGACTTTAAAATCAGTGCAACAAACCTACAGCAACAAAAATATTTACTGGTCCATGTCCTCAGGGCTATCTACTTCCCTGGGTGACAATTTGCTAATTTGATAAACAGTGATGGCAATGAGTACAGCTGGTCTCCCAGGGTTTCTTTTCTGCTTAGATGACATCTGTGGCTTCTTATTAGATTTTCCTGGATTTAAAATCAAAGGACAGACTAGAATGGTGAAATTTCCCAGAGAGGAAGGAAGGAGCATGCTGTAACAGGAGGCAACTGGGGAAGATATTTGAGGAAGGGAGGAGGTAGGGATCTATGTGTTGGGTGTTTCCTTTGGGCATTAGGATCTTTGCCCATTACTTAATTCCTACAATAGCTTTTTCGAGCAGATATTATTGCCCATATTTTTATTTATTCATTCAATAAATATTGTATTGAACATTTACTCTGTACTAGATCCTTGGGCTACATCAATGAACAGATTCTTGCTTTGGGAGAGCTTACATGCTAGTGGGAGGCAGACACTATAAACACACCTAAGAAATAAACACAAAGTATAGTGCATGGGATGTGGGGAGAAGTTGAAGAGGGTAAAAGGGGTCAAATAAATGGTGACAGAATGAGAGTAGAGTTTGAGTGGTGAACACAATGCAGTAGACAGATGATGTATCATAGAATTGTACACTTGAAACTTACATAATCTTATTAACAAATTTTGGCCAATAAGTTTAATTAAAAAACATAGTGTATGGTGATAAGTGCTATAGAAAAAATAAAAAACAGAGCAAGGTAAAAGGGTTTAGAAGTGGAGGAGGAGAAAGTAGAGAAGGGTGGAGAGGGTTGACACTATATTAAGTAAGGTGATGAGAGAGGCTTTCTGGAGAAGAAGAAATTTGAGCAATGCCCTAAAGGGAATTGACTAAGCTATACAGTTGGAGGAAATGCTTTTCGGACAGTGAGACTAGCCAGTGCAAACTCTGTGAGTCAGAAGTGTGCCTGGAGTGTTTGAAGAAAAACTGAGGTCAGTGTGAGCGGAACAAAATGAGTGAAGCGGGGAGTAGTAAGAGAGAAAGTCAGGAAGGTAAGGAGCAGGGGGGATTGGGTCATAGAGGGCCTTATGGGTATTGTAAAGAGTTTGGCTTTTACTTTAAATGATATAGGGAGTCATTACAGGGTTTTGAGCAGAGGAGTAATATGAAGCCACTTCTATTTTAAAAGGATCACTCTGGTTGCTGTGTTAAGAATAGACTAGGAGGATAAGGATGAAAACAATATGACCTGTTAGGAGGCTATTGCAGCAATCCAAGCTAGAGGTGGTGGTGGCTTGCACTAGGGAATAACAGAGCAGGTAGGAGAAGGGATAGGGTTCTGGATATGTTGAGGATAGAGGATTTCCTGATGGATCGAATGTGGTATGTGAGAGATAAATGTCATTAAGGATAATTGTAGGGGTTTTGGCCAGAACAACTAGAAAGATGAAATTGTCATCAGCTGAGGAAGGGAAGACTGCATGTGGAACAGTGTTAGTTCTGAATATGCTGAGTTGCCTAGTAGAATTCACATGGGGATGTAAAGCAGGCAGTTAGACACACAAATCTGGAGAAGGTGAAAGATGTCTGGGCTAGAGATGTACACTTGGTAGTACTAAACATATGTGTGTGTGTTATGTGCCAATGAGTCAGTTCCAACTTCTGGCAACACTATGACTGAGTGATGTTCACAATGTCCTGTCCTCAGTAGCCATACTCAGCTCCTATAGAATCATGTTTATGGTTTCTTTTATGGAGTCAATCCCTCTCATATTTGATTTTCCTTTTTCTTGTTGTCTTCAATTTTTCCAAGCATTATTGTGTTTTCCAGAGAACCCTCCTTCTCATGGTGGGCCCGAAATAGGACAGCTTCAGTTTTGTCGTTTTTGCCTCCAGTGACTTTTCAGGCTTAATTGGCCCTAGTAACTACTTGTTCATCTTTCTTTTGGTCCAGAGTGTCCATAGAGCTCTCTCCAACACCAACTTTCATGTGAATTATTTTTTAACTTTCAGCCTTCCTCACTGTCCAACTTTCACATTCATACATAGTAATTGGGAATATGAGGGTGTGGATAGTTTTAGCTTTGGTCTCTAATGACACATCTTTGCAACTAAACATATAGATGGTATTCAAAGTCATGAGGCTGGCTGAGATCATCCAGAAAAATAGAGAATAACCTAAAGAATTCTACCCTGGGGCACTCGAATTTCTGGAAATAGGTCAGGGTGAAGAAAAGCAAAGCCAATTGAAAGGAAATGGCCAGTGAGGAAGGAGGGAACACCAGAAACACCAAGAGAGTGTGGTGTCCTGAAAGAGAAGTGAAGAAAATGTTTCAAGGAGAAGGGATTGATCAACTGTGTCAAATGCTATTGGTAGGCTAAGTGAAATGAAGATTAAACATTGACCATTGTAATGAAAGTTTTCTAAAATTGACAGTGGTGATTGTTGCACATATCTGTAAATATGCTGAAAACCATTAAATTGTACACTTCACTTCAGATGCGTGAATTTTATGATATATGAACTCTGTCTCAATAAAACTGCTTATATGACGAACTCTGTCCAGAAAGAGTCCGGTCATTATTAACATAATGAGGACAGTTTTCCCGGCATTGCTGTGACTTGGCAGCCAAGGAGAGTGGACTGGAATGTGCGTGTGTGAACAATGAAGACTTCACTGTACTGGTCAGTGGGGGTGGTGGACACCACTGAGTGAGCATGTGTGCTGTGTGGCTGTCACATTCAAAATGACTGAGCAAGTGGAGCAATGAATCTGCCTTAAATTTTGCATTAAGCTTGAACATTTCTCCATGGAAACTATTCAGATGATTCAGAAGGCTGCAACTAAGGGCAACTGGTGATTGGCAGCTTTATCACGACAACGTGCCCACTCATGCATCATGTCTTGTGCAGAGATGTTTGGTGAAACATCAGATCACCCAGGTAACTCAGTCCCTGCTACAACCCAGATTTGGTGCCCTGCAACTTCTGGCTTTTCCCCAAACTAAAGTCACCCTTTGAAAGACAAGAGATTTCAGACCGTCAATGAGATACACGAAAATACAACAGAGCAACTGATATTGATTGGGAGAACTGTATGAGGTCCCAAGGTGCCTACTTTGAAGGGGACTGAGGTGTTATTGTTCTATATACAATGGTTTTATCTTCTTCAGTAAATGTCTCTATTTTTCATATTACATGGCTGGACAGACCTTGTATACATATGCATATACATTTTATTTGTCCATTTATCTGTCAATAGACACTTGGATTGCTCCCATTTTTGGCTATTGTGAATAATGCTTTAATGAAATGAGTGTAAAAACACCATATTTTTCAAAATGTATCTAAAAACATTACTGTGAGAAGGGGTCCATGACACACACAAAAAATTCTGAGTGGTCTGGCTAGGATTTGAACTCAGGCCACCTGGCTCTAGAGCCTGTGCTTATTCTCCACACTTACAATGTCATGCCACATCAGCAGCCTATACTCTCTTACATCAGGGCAGGCTCTGCATCAATATATGAAAGAAGAGTAAAAAGACATCTTCCAGGTATGCATGCAACCCTATTTCTATAGTTATTATTTTGGGTCTTCTCATCCCTGTTCCCTCATCCTCGCATTACTACGTGCTTTGGACTAAGATATTCTATCCTTTGGACCTGGGAATGTTTCTCTCATTCTTTTCAGTCTGCTAGCCCTGCATCTCTGTGGTTCTGGAGTGTCATTCTGCACTTTGAGAGAGTTCACTTTGCTGGGACTCACATGTTCTCCCACAGTTCTGATGCTGCTGCATTGAGGATACACTTTAACAGATTGCCCCAGCATAAGAACTTGAAACCCCGTTTTGAGCCTAGCAAGAGTAGGGCCGTATGTATTTTCCAGCAGAGTAGCCCAAACTCTGCTATATATTAGCTCTTTGCCTCTGAACTTCTGTCG